ACACTTGTGTATATGTTTTACAATTATGGCAGTACTTGACGCCACAGCTAGTTGCAAACTATTTATATCCCTTGGTGCCCTGCTAGTCATAAGGCCAGCTGAGCATCATGGGAATTGGCACTTCCAGTGCCAAGATTACCTCATATGTGTGCCATGGTGGGATTCATTTATGGAGCCACAAATATATCCTAGAAAAATTACACTGGAAATATGAAGAGATGTATGGAAAACAGAAGCTATTGGGAGACCGGGCCGATGAGAGCTCTGACGGGCGGCCCCAATGTGTTTGGGTGCAGTGTGACCAAATTCCTCTTCTGTGTTTAATGACCTGGCACACATCTAATAAACACAGGGAGCTGCGTGTGCTGTCAGACACTGTCTGTTTAATTGATTTCCTGGGACACAGCAAGGAGACTCTGTGCCTGGGGCCCCCGTGTGTACCTCCCCCTGCAGGGGCCTGGTGGGGGTGATGCTTACTAAGCCCTATATACATTCAGGCATCACAGACCAGATCAATGTGCAATAAAGCCGCACTAGAATACAGAGAGTGAGAACAGCTCTTATGGGGGGCAGGGAGGAGAGACATTGAACAGATTGGGTGAAGGGGGGATGCTATAAATAATCATTAACCAACGGAGGGGTCCACCCACCCAACATCTCACAGGTAACAGTAATTAAAGTTGTAAAAACACTCTACTGCAACAGGTCCAAACTTTTCTCACATCTCTGTCGGTGCTGCTGATAATCTAAAACAGGCTTCCACAAACTCCGGCCCTCCAGATGTTGCTGAACTACAACACCCATGATTCTATGAATTAAATAGTTAGGCTGAGAACAGTGGTGTATCCTGGTTTTGTGCTGCCCTAGGCAGGACAAAACTCAGGCACCCTCTTCCCCCCGCCCCACCGCCACCCAACCCTTCCCCCCGCCCCACCTTCTAAATACACACACACATACACAGTCAGACACACACACAGTCAGACACAAACACACACACACACACAGTCAGACACAAACACACAGTCAGACACACAGACACAAACACACACACACACACAGTCAGACACAAACACACACACAGTCAGACACACACACACAATCACTCACATTAACACTTTTTTTTTTAATTTACCCCCAGCCTCCTTACCTTTGGGAGTGCTGGGGGGGTTCCTCTTTCTCCCTGGTGGTCCAGTGGCTGCTGGGTGGGCGGCTGACGAGGGAGCTGAGCAGACCGCTCAGAGGAAGAGCTCCCTCGCCAGCCGCCCGCCCAGCAGCCAGCGCCGCCCAGCGCCCAGCATGTCAGTTAGCCGCGAGGCTAACAAGGCATTTGCCCTGGGCATTTGGGGGCGGCGTTTTTTGCTGCCCCCTGAAAAATGCCGCCCAAGGCAAATGCCTTGTTAGCCTCGTGGCTAATACGTCCCTGGCTGAGAATCATGGGAGTTGTAGTTCAGCAACATCTGGAGGGCCGGAGTTTGGGGAAGCCTGATCTAAAAGTTTAAAACAGTGATGGGTTTATTTTCTAAACCTTACTCAAGGTATTTCTCTGTATTTACCTGATATCGTGGAAACCCAGTTGCACAGCAGAGCACGGAGTAGTCCTGCAAGGTAAGTAATGTTAGTGTTACTCTGGCAGCTAAGGCTGGGGGAAATGCGATGATCACAGAAATAGCACTTTAATGGTTAAGATTAGGTTTAAAATCCAGTTAATCTACACAAACAGAACATACCAACCTTAAACATTCTAGCCATGCATTTAACACTACCTGTCGTGATTTATTGTTAATTTATTTATACTGATTACAGGAAGGCGTTTTGTTTTTTTCAGTAATTAGAGAATTGCGGAGCAATTAAATAGGAATTACGTGTTTCAGACCAAAGCAGCTGAGCTGGATACCTAGCTAAGTTGGAGAATTTTTGCAGTTTACCTACCTCGGCCTAAAATGTTTAATTCTCTGACGAACTCCCTGATATTTCCCAGTTTAGTGGATAAACCCCCCTATCTACTGACTAAATATAGAGCTAAGTTAAGGAACATGTGGGAGATACAAAGTGAAAACCATGGCACATGGAAAAACTTAGTCCATCAATGCAACACTAACAAACACAGGACTCTGTTTATACTTAAAGGAACACTATAATGGAAAATAAAGTTTTGTACGCACTCTTAAAGGGCACCAACACAATGTATGTTTAATTTACTACTGTGAGTGTCATTGTCTGTTTTTTGTTGTGTTTTGTTGTTTTTTTTCTGTTGAAAGAGCTCTGCGTTTTTAGATTTTTATTAAAGGGGAACCGCCACATGCCAGGATTTTCACTATGAGGTTTACTTATCTCCTATATTTAACAAATATGTGTTCGCGAGGGCTGAAAAATAAAATTAAATATAGAAACCCACAAGGCTGTATTTAGCTCTGATTCTGGTACTGAGTGCCATCATCTTGGCTCCCTGTCAATCACTGTTATAAATTCGTTGATCAAAGTAAGTGGAGGACAAGAAGCAGAAACAATGTTACTTCTTGTCTGAGCTCCTTTTGTAACCATTAGATTGTAAGCCTTATGGGCTTTCTAGCCATAAGTACTTTATATGTAACAGCTTCAGTGGCTAGATGTCACATCAAGGTCATTGCTCTCTTTACCTTCTGTATTGGTCTCTGTATATTGTACGGTATATTGCACAGCGCTGCGGAATATGTTGGCGCTTTATAAATGCTCGTAATAATAATAATATTAAAAACATGAATAAATGGTTAAAACAAATTATCAGTAGGTTTCAATGTTTTATTCAGTAAACTATTTCAAGAGTGACAATTTCCCCCTTTAAATTTTAAATATAATACGCTAATATGATACATATGTCAAGTTTGCTGTAATGGTAGGATAAACGTACAGTTATTACAATCAGCTGTGCTACAAGAGGAGAATGGGGCGCTGTCATTTTGACACTTAGCATCTCCTAGAGTGGTTAGAGGCTGATTTGCGGCAAAAGCAACCGCCGTCATGTTTTGCCAGTTCCTACAGCCGTTGCTAGCACTTAGCAAGTTATGTATGTTTCTGTTCAGACGTTGTACTGACACATATTACATGAGAGTAATGAACCCCTGATACACTAGAATGTGACTCTAAGTACTGAACTAATACACCCCCCCTCCACTACAGCCATACACCCTTCCTGATCTGAGGGGGAGAAATGTTAAGAGGGGGGTCAGGATGTCCTGTCAACCTGCCATCCAGGGTTCTCCATGCAGCTCCAGCAAACATTTCATAATGCCCTAGAACACCAATTTTGGGACCAGGATGCCCTCGAAATCCGTTCCAAATTTAGACTTTAGTGCCATAAACCCTGATATTCACCCAAATTAGAGAGACACAATCATGTATCAGTGATAACAGTATATATGGACTGTCATGTATCTCCTGTTTTACTGAGATGGTTGGTTACAAAACACAGTTTAGCAAAAGTCGCTGTCCCCTGTGATATGACCGTGTGTGGTGTATGTTTTGAATTTCGTCACTGCTAACTGCAAGTCAGGATGTAGGAGGGCACACAATATCTAAGGGACACGTCACTTAACAGCATGTCTTAAATAATGATCTCTCTCTAGGGAGGTCAATGTGAATCTCAACGCAGCCCCTGTCTGTGCTACATGCAGATATTTCACTGAGATCAGACGAGAGGAATGTAGATACAGAATGGATAAAGAATTAAACACTTGCAGGGGTTACTCGCTGAAATCTGGATTCTTGGGAACTCAAAGTAAATTTCACAATGTAGACCAAAATAGCTAAATTGTTTGGAGAGTAACCCTGCTAATTCACAAATGACTTACTGGGAGAGATAGCACAGAGTGTGTGAAGTAGCAGATGTGTGAGAGTCTCTAACGCATTTTTGCTCAAAATTTCAGATAAGGTTTCTCTGAACGTGACAATATTATTTTTAAACAGTTGTGACTGGCGAAGTATAAAGATGGTGGCACACTAGACTCTACATCCAGATTTTATTTCGGCTCCCTAACTTGTTTGCTTTGCCCACTTCACCCCTGACCCCACAGGTGCTCGTATTTGGGAAACAACAACCACTTTAAAGAGGTTTCGACAGTGACACTATTTTTTGTTCCAAATCACAGCCCCAGAAGACCGGACAATATGTTATGTTAACAGTAAAAATGTCATTTTAGGGTTTCGACATAAACTTCTAATTTTCAAGTAATTGATATCAGGCAGATCTTGATTCAAGGAATATAATCAAATGTTATGGTTCATAGTGAGATCTAGTTGTAGAGTGGGTAGCCTGTCCTGAAAAGCTAACAATCTAATGGTAATGGAGCACTTTTAAAATCTAAAAATTTAATGGGAGACTGCACCCCCTACCCCCCCAAAAAAGGATTCCTACGTTGTCCCGTGGTACATTGAATGTACTACAATGTGTGTATCCCTGTGTTGTTAATAGGTGTATCCTGCTTTGAGATATGAATAAATAAAGCTATTATTGACACAGTAAATATTTCCTGCTGGGATTTGTGTGTTTTGTACATGATGGTTTACCAATGACTTTAGATTTGCACTTTAAACCTTCTAATATTGGAAAGAAAGAACCCAGGATGGGGCTTTTCACTGAGAAGATGCCAGTGATGTTAATTGTGTTGCTGGTGTTGCTACAAGGCTTATAAGCTCAGTATGTTATGTTATTTATTTATATAGCGCCATCAAATTCCGCAGCGCTTTACAATGGGTGGACGAACAGACATGTAGTTGTAACCAGACAAGTTGGACACACAGGAACAGAGGAGTTGAGGGCCCTGCTCAATGAGCTTAAATGCTAGAGGATATTTCACTGAGATCAGACGAGAGGAATGTAGATACAGAATGGATAAAGAATTAAACACTTGCGGGGGTTACTCGCTAAAGTCTGGATTCTTGGGAACTCAAAGTAAATTTCACAATGTAGGCCAAAATAGCTAAATTGTTTGGAGAGTAACCCTGCCAATTCACAAATGACTTACTGGGAGAGATAGCACAGAGTGTGTGAAGTAGCAGATGTGTGAGAGTCTCTAACGCAGGTAAGGATAGTATTAGACTAGTGACAGTTGCAGGAGAGGAATCAGGCAGGAGCTATTAACAGTTTAATTGATAAGCTTTTATGAAGAAGTGGGTTTTTAATGATTTTTTTGAAGGAGCGGAGACTGGGTGAGCATCTGACGGAGGAGGGAAGCGAGTTCCACAGGAACGGTGCAGCCCTCGAGAAATCTTGAATATGCTTGCCAGCCTGGTAGCCATGGCTATCCAATGCAAGACTGCTCGAGAAATGCATGTAATTTGCTTGGAATTAAATGGATGCATTTAATCTTTGTGTTGTGGAGACTTTTCTCTGGTGTCCCCACAACAGTGGGACAGGGAACCCCAAATCAAGACTAACTAGTGGTACGTCAGTCAATAACGTGAAAACACACAAGATGACATAAAATGCTCGCTATAAAAAAATAATTATTGCAACATTATTTCACATAATGAAATCCATAAATAAGAGGTAAATACAAACAGCCATATACCAAGGAGCTTGTCCATGCTCTAGTAATTTCCTGCATGGATTATTGTAACCCTCTCTTAATTTGTCTTCCTAAAAACCGTACAGTCCATAATGAATGCTGCAGCTAGACTGATTTTCCTCTCCTGTTGCTCCTCTCACATCCTCTCCCTTCTGTCAGTCCTTACATTGGCTTCCTGTATCCTATAGGAGTCAATTCAAGGTACGAACCCATACCTATAAAGCACTAACCAATTCTAGCCCCTTTTATATCTCCTTACAGATCCATAGGTATGCACCTTCTCGGTCTCTCCACTCTACCCGTGACCTTCTCCTGTCCGCTGCTCTCACCCATACGGCCAACTCGTGCTTGCAGGACGTCTCGCGGGAGGCTCCCTTCCTATGGACAAGCCTGCCTACCCCCATCAGACTCTCCCCTAGTCTTTAATTGTTTAAGAAATGCCTTAAAATCCACCTCTTTAGGAAAGCTTATGGCCTCCCAGAGTAACCTCTACCTCACATACCTGTCTCTTGCTCTCTCCTAAAGGGCAGCACTCTATTCTCTCCTCCAGCTCTGCTTCACTCCCACCTTCTTTGATTGCTATTTCCTGTCCTATTGTGTTTTACACCCCACCTTGTATAGACTGTAAGTTCGTTTGAGCAGGGCCCTCTTCAACCTATCGTTCCTGCAAGTTTCTTGTAATTGTCCTATTTATAGTTAAATGCCCCTCTCATAATATTGTAAAGCGCTACGGAATCTGTTGGCGCTATATAGAGTATCTCACAAAAGTGATTACACCCCTCACATTTTTTTGTAAATATTTTATTGTATCTTTTCATGTGACAACACTGAAGAAATGACACTCTACTACAATGTAAAGTAGTAAGTGTACAGCCAGTATAACAGTGTAAATTTGCTATCTCCTCAAAATAACTCAACACACCGCCATTAATGTCTAAACCGTTGGCAACAAAAGTGAGTACATCCCTAAGTGGTAATGTCCAAATGTCCATCTTCTTGGGCGGTCCTCTTCTGTTTGTGGTAGAGACGACGTCAATGCTGTATTCACGCACATGCGCGAGAGTAAAGCAGTGAGGTCTATGGAAGATCTCATAATCAATTCCCTGCAGCCATCACTGGTGACGGCTGGGAGGGGGGGGTGATTGATACTTCTAGAGACGGCAGTAGCTCCGTCCAGTGTCTAGAAGTGTCAGGTAAAGAAAAAAATACCGATACAAAGTAGTCCCTATTTTGTCTCAGTAAATCTCTTGACTGGGTTGGAATTTCAGTAAAATTTTAACGCGGTCGATATGAGTATTTCATGAAGAATTTATCTTTAAGAAATACTAATTTTGGGACGGGTGGCATGTGACAGTGGCCTGAAACGTGGCGCTAGCGTGGCGTGAGAGTGTCTAATCGCGTGCTGGCGCTGTGCGTAACGCGAAGCCGCTCTGTCCGGTAACGCACACTGATTGGGTCTAAACTGACATGTCCGCTCTCAGTCACAATTATTTTGGCTTAAAATTTGAAATTCACTTCAAATTCCTTAAAAAATGTCCATTTTGGATGTTTTTGTTTTATTTTTTTACAAATTCAGCTGATTTAGTCCAACATTTCATGTTCCCAGTTTGGTGAATAAGCCCCAGCTGTGATACATTGTGTCACTGTAGATTTTCTAACACTAAGCCCCGCCCCCTGGTTGCTAGGAGGTTGCCAGGAGCCTCAGACAATGGAGTTCTAATCCCCGGAGAAGGCATGACGCACTCATCCCTGTCCTTTCAATATGTGTTCCCAGCGCGGAGCGCGGAGTTCTACGGCGGCGGCCATTTAACTGGAGACCAGCGTGCCTTGACATTCAATGAAGAGTCTTCAACAAAATGGCTGCCGGCGGCGGAGACACGGAGCGGCCGCTGCGCTGTGGTTGTTGTTTAGCACTCTGTATGCACAGCCCGTCCCATGAATTTGACGTCACTTCCCGCAGGTTTCTGTAACGTGTCCTTACCGGCTGAGCAGTGAGCGCAGGAACCCCCTGAGACACCGGACATGGCGGAGCTGGAACCCGCCGCTCTGCTCAATGACACCGAGGCGGCCGTGAACGGCACCGGCAAGCTGGGGAGCTCCCCCGAGGGGGCCGCGCTGGCCTATGGCAGCCTCCTCACCATGGCCCTCCTGCCCATCTTCTTCGGGGCCATGAGGAGTGTGAGCTGTGCCCGGGGCAAGGTGAGCAGCCTGTGGGAGCCTGGCTGGGAGTAATAAGGGGCCCCTGGCTGGGAGTAACAAGGGGCCCCTGGGTGGGACTGTAGGAGGGCCCCAGGTAGTGGCCCCTGGGTGGGAGTAATAAGGGGCCCCTCGGGGGGACTGTGGGAGGGCCCCAGGTAGTGGCCCCTGGCTGGGAGTAATAAGGGGCCCCTCGGGGGGACTGTGGGAGGGCCCCAGGTAGTGGCCCCTGGCTGGGAGTAATAAGGGGCCCCTCGGGGGGACTGTGGGAGGGCCCCAGGTAGTGGCCCCTGGCTGGGAGTAATAAGGGGCCCCTCGGGGGGACTGTGGGAGGGCCACAGGTAGTGGCCACAGGTAGTGGCCCCTGGCTGGGACCGTAGGAGGGCCACAGGTAGTGGCCCCTGGCTTGAAGTAATAAGGGGCCCCTGGCTGGCACCTTAGGAGGGCCCCAGGTAGTGGCCCCTGCTGGGAGTAATAAGGGGCCCCTGGCTGTGAGAGCTGGAACTGTGGGAGGGCCCTAGGTAGTGGCCCTTGGCTGGGAGTAATAAGGGGACCCTGGCTGGGACTGTGGGAGGGCCCCAGGTAGTGGCCCCTTGCTGGGAGTAATAAGGAGCCCTTGGCTGGTAGTAATAAGGGGCCCCCTGGCTGGGAGTAAGCAGGGTATCAAGCAGTGATCCCTGGCTGAGAATATGGATCCCTTATTACTGTAACAGATGGTGGCTTTAGATTGGGAGTAATAAGGGGCCCCCGGCTGGGAGTAAGCTGTGACTTTGGTGGGCCTGAAGCAGTGACCACTGGCTGGGAATATGGAGTCCTTATTATTCAACTGATGGCAGGACCTGACAGGATCCCATGGCAGTGGCCCCTGGCTGGGAGTTATAAGGGGACCCTGGCTGGTAGAGCTGTAGCTAATCACATAACTGCTGGGAAATCCCAAGCTGTCAAACTGTGGCCCTTGACTGGAAAAATGAGGGGCCTTCATAAGAGCTCTGGATCCATACTGGTAAACCCAAATTGTCTATTGACTCGGAGAACTGGCATCAGTGACATTAAATGTCAGCATATGCCACTCAGGAGCCGTCATTAGAATGCCTGGTGGTTCTTGGAGAAAGCTGCGGCCAGGAATAAAACCCCAGATATGGGAATAGAGGGTCTATAGCTGGCTGAATAGGGACTGGTGGCATCTTATCTAATATTCCTGAAAGTAGGAGCAGTTAAAGGTCAAACAGCGGGTCCTGGCAGATAAATTAGTCAGAAGTTTAAATTAAAACGATGGAGAGCCTTGCAGTCAGGTCTTTCGTATTTTAGCAGATTTTGTTTGTTTGATAAGTAGTAAGTTCCTTCCTCTCAAGTACCAGATCAGTCATGTACTTATTAACATTTGTTTTACCTGAAAGTGATGTGGCGAGGGTGGCATGGACACAACTCTGGTTATAATTCTTTAGAGAAGCATTTCATTTTGTAATTTCATGTTTCACAGTCTAACTCTGTCCTAAATAAAACATTGTAATCTAGATTTGTCAGTAATGCAATATATGTTTTATCTATGTAATGAAGGCAAGCACTGTAGTGTACATGTAATAGCAGCAGCTGCCACCAGTTATGTCATACCATTTTTTTTTTAACTGTTACCTGCAGCTTCCTAACGTATAAACCTTTTCTCATCACCTCTGCAGAATTCCAGTGACATGCCAGAAACAATTACAAGCAGAGATGCTGCTCGGTTTCCGATCATTGCCAGTTGTACTCTCTTCGGACTCTATATATTCTTTAAAGTAAGTGCTGAATATTGTGTGTATTTTAACTGTATTGTGTTCGATTAATCTGTTTAATTTTTTTTTTTTTATTATTATTTTTTTACCTGGCTAATATTTTGGTTTTAGGCAGAAGCAATTTTATAAAACAGTTTCTCTAAATTTCTGGAAAAGATTCATACTCTGTTCATACTCTTTAAAAGTAGCCACTGATATTGGTTCAGCTATACTGTATCACCTATTTTAAAAGCAACTTTATTTGTTTGATATTAGAGATTTTGCAATAACAATGCCACAATAAGATTCAAGTTCACCCTTTGCTGAGCAGGTTATAAACCTTTTAGTTAATATAAAGTGGCTCTATCAGCTTCTTAGGGTCTCTGGATGTTTTTCGATGGTGACATTGCTTGGTGTGTGGTGGCCCAGGGGCGCAGTAAAGGTGAGTTATTCTTACCTGATGCTGTCCCTTGCAAGTGCTGCAATTTTCAGATCCTGGTGCTTCATCTACCAGGAGTTCACACCAGTGCTGTGCTCTTGCACATGTATGAGAGTACAGCACTAATATCTATGGTAGATCCAGTGAGACCGCAGGAGCCTCCATAGATATTATCCCACATTGAGCAAGATAATGACTTATTCCCATAGCCATTGCCAGCAATGGCTGCGGGAAGTGTCAAAACCTGACTGCAATAATTTGTCATGTTTTGTCAACTTAAGGATTTACCATAAGACGAAGTAGTCCTACAACGTGTCACTATTTGACTTTCTTCCATCTCTGATTGGATGTCCTCCCGCTTTCTGAAACTCAATCTCTCTAAAACAGAGTTTCTTATTTTTCCTCCTGATAATACTGATACTCCTCTTTCGCTCTCCCTGCAAGTTGATGGTACCCGGCCTGTCCATGCAAGCTCTCGCTGTCTTGGTGTTCTCTGATCGTGGACTTACATTGCACCTCACATCCAGTCTATTGCTAAATCCTGCCAATTCCATCTTAAAAACATTGCCCATATCCATCCCTTCTTCCCCCTTCTTTTTTGTTTTATTAAAAATGAGTTGCTGCTAAGGAGCTTGTATATAGTCTAGTAATTTCTCACATTGATTACTTTAATTCTCTCCTAATTAGTCTCCCCAGAAGCCGTACTGCCTCGCTACAGTTTGTAAGGAATGCTGATGCAAGGCTGATTTTTTTTTTTTTTTGATTTTTTTTTTTTTTTCCTCTTGTCGCTCCTCTCACATTTTGCCCTCTGTCTATCCTTACACTGGCTTCCTGAACAGTATAGGGGTCAATTCAAAATATCAACCCTTACCTATAAAGTATTTCACAAATCTAGCCCGTGCTACATCTTTTAACGAATTCATAGATACTTCCCTTCTTGGTCTCTCCTTTCCACTGCTTGCACCCTTAGTCCTAACTCGCACTTGCAGGACTTTTCGTGGGTGTCTCTTTTCCTTTGGACTCTCCCCTAGTAGTCTTCAATCATCCAAGAAGTCCCTCAAAACTCATCCCTTTTAGAAATTCTTTTGGCCACCCAGAGTAACTTCTATTCCACAAACCCATCTCTTGCTCTCTCCGAAAGGGTCACACTTCACTCTCACCTCCAGTTCTGATATTTTTCCACCTTGTTGATTGGCTGCTGTCCCCCCACTCTGCCCTTCCTACTGTGTTTGTTATTATCCACCTCCTCTAGACTGTAAGCTTGCGTTAGTAGGGTTTTCATCAACCTATTGTTCAGGTAACATTTTGTAATTGTCTTATTTATTCTTACATTTCCTACTTTATAAAATCGTAATGTGCTGCAGAATAGGTTGGCGCTATGTAATGCCAATAAGAATATGTAGTTCATCTGTAGGTTGATTTCTGCAACTTTTTTGGGGGGCGGGGTCAATCTGTTTTTTTATTGAGGTAATGTTGCAAAGAAACAAATTCTGTAATTATATACAATAAAGAATAATCTACGGCATATAACTAAACAGTTGTCAGTCATCAGATATTCTTCATACCTCATTTATTTGAATTTTTGTTAGAAGTGTGATAAGATCATCCAAGGCAATGCTGGATGCACCAAATACCACACAGTGTGTAACCCGTAAATTACCTAATATCAAAAAAGTAGCATCAACATTATCTGATAAGCGACCCTCTCCTCAGCGATTTAACTATGTTGAGGAATTACTTATAAAACACTTGTTGGGCTGGCAGGCATTCCAGACTAATAAAATAAATGAAATAGAGGAACAAAAACCCCCCAAACTTTAGGTTACATTATTCTGATAATGAAATGCATGAACCGAACCATGAACATATACCATGAGCCTGCAGATGCTGCGTTTAAGTAGATATACGCCACCTTAACCTACGGAGACGCTGGGTGAGGGGAAATTAGTCACAAATGAGAGCCTGAAGCTCCTTCACAGTTGATACAGCACCCACTATAGTGAGGTAACCTACAAAAAACTTTCAGGGTCCCAAGCATGCGAGGTAGAAGGGGCAGCTGGAGTCATGGACTGCAGTGGTATCTCCAGTGTGTGATAGAATGAAGCAGACTCATACAGTGAGGTATGTCTCTGTGTGGTACTGCCTTGGACAACTTTAGTGGATCGTAGTGACAGTCGGGACTCCACACCAGCATTCTGTAATTGGCTTGTTACAGCACTAAGGGACCTGTGAAACTGCAAGGTGTTTCGGGTTAAGTCCTGAAAGAACATGAGCTGAGAGGTCTCGAAATCAAACAGGGTCTTGCCCCTCATTGCTGCCAGGATGTAGTTTTTGTCTGTTAAAGAGTAACTGATAATTACACCCCAGGAGGCCAAAGATGGGGCTTGTCTAGGTTTGTTGAATCAAAAAAGCCATCCAGTACAGTCTTTTTGGCTTGAGTGTGTGGTAGGCTTGAAGATAATGTGGCCGAGGCAATTAATCTGAGATGACTCTGATTTTAATATTGGCGCTAATATTCGTTAGGATTGCACATTGAGTGAACTGTACTTGTTGCAGGGACTTTCACAAACCCATCACCTCCTGCTGTATGTGTATGATATGATATGCTCTTCAGAGGCCTCTGTTTGTGTGGTCACTGCTTGTTCTTCTGTACAAATTACACTGAGGTCTGCGGCAGGGCTCAATTCTTGCAATTAGCTTCAAATGTCCTGCCTGGTAGCCGGTATGAGTGCATCCTGCTCTGCTTCCAATGCGATGGTTGACACTTGAGCAGGGGACTTCAGTGGTTCGTCCTGTTTCACATCTGAGCCGTTGGGGCCTGCGTCTTGGTCTGATAGTACTGTCATTGCCGCGTGTCCTTACTCGCACCGGCTTGTGAATTCAGAGTTCACTGTATCTTAATGTCGGTGGAGTGCGCTGAATTCTCTTGTGCTGTTGGGTAAATGCGCGGGTTCTTAGGATTCCGTGCTGAAACCAGTGTGGCTGCCTCAAAGGTTCCAAAATTGAGGTAGGCCCTAGATCCTCAACTAGCTTTCTTGCTCATCTGTGTAAACTAAAACGGCATCAGCTGGTGGCTTACTTTTTAGAAGGGTGATGAGAAGTGGCCACTCTTTCATAACACCATGGGTCCACCGAGTAAGAGAGATTAGCCGCCAAGTCACGGGAGCTCTAAAGGATGGCATCCATTCAGTTCAGAGGTTCAGATTTCTACAACTGTTTAATGTATCTTTTGTGTGTTTTTATAAATTCTGAATTTGCTCAGTAAAAGCAAATATTGCATAGATATCGACACATGTACCAATAGTTGTTTTATAACTTTGACTCTCGTAAGCCTTTGGCAACCGTAACAATAACAGGTGCATTGTAGATGTTTAGAGGAGTTGTATCTGCTAAAAGCTGCCTGTCTTTTATTTTACTTTTCCAGGTGTTCACATGGCCATTTCCTCTAGTCTGCACACTTTAAGCATTTTATTTAACTTTATTCCAGATTTTCTCCCAGGAATACATCAACCTGCTTCTATCCATGTATTTCTTCGTTTTGGGAGTTCTGGCATTGGCTCACACCATTAGGTAACCCTACAGATTGATTTCCTCTCCCATCCCACCCTGTATTTTCTGTCTACCATCACCCTTCCTTTGCATTTTTCACCCATAAAATTGTCTCCAATTCGTCTGCCCAATTTTTTTATTCATCCTTTTAGAATGCACCATTTCTCTATTCCACAATTACTTAAAGTCGCTCTCTTCCAAAATCTCACCATGTTTATCTCTATTTATATGTTTCTCAGTCCAGCCATGAACAGAATATTACCAGCAACTATACCTAACAAACAGTACCAGCTTCTCTTCACCCAGGGCTCAGGGGAGAGCAAGGAAGGTGAGAAGCCACATTTTGTGTAATTGGACCACACTGCCTTCGGACTGTTAGACAGGGCAGTCTTACCTGTGCTCCCTGTAGATCAAACTGGTTCTGTAGCCGTTACTGACCTGTCCTGTTTTTCTGTTGTACAGCACCGCAGAATATGTTTGTGTTAGCCATCTATTAAAGTAAATTCCACCTAACTTGTGTCTTGGCGAGGCAAAAAAAGCGTAGGCATCATTCTGGCTTTAAAAGCTGTTTGTAATAATACAGGACGTATTGTTTGATATATTGAGATGAGTGCAATAAATTATGATTTGTAAAGACGTCAATGCACCCATATTAGAAACTGCCATATTTGTTGTACATACATGCTTTGAGAGTGAGGAAAGGCTAAATGTTCATTATAAATATTTCTTATAATATAGTAGTACAGATCTCTAAGTTGTACATTAGGGGTGATAAATGTGTACTTAATTTGTATGGTGAGGTGTGAGAACACACCTGTGCAGGTAAGTAACTGAATATTAAATACATATTCTTATTTAAAAATTAAAGGTAATATAAGGATAGTGCACCGACTGAAGTTAAAAATTAACTCGTGTTCATAAGCAGGTACACAACAACTATCTGTTAATCTCAGGGAGCACTTTATTCTAGCCGAATGCATTATGTCAAGGTTAGCGAATACACACTAGCTGAATACTTGCAGTGTATTTGGTCAGTAAGCTTATAAAATATGCAAATGTGATTTGCCAATGTAGTGGAAACGCTATAAAATAAATTGTTCTGAAAATAAAAACTGTCTGCTTTGTGAGCGGTTTATGTATGTCTGTAATTTTAAACCATAAGAGGAGGAATAGAATGATTGCCTGTTAGAGTGCGCACATTGTTTCTTTCTCCAGTAAAAGTATTTGTTATAATGCGTTTTTTAAACTTCTCCATGTTTGATCAATGTGTTGTGTAATTTTATTTTTCTAATGTGGCCAATTTGCACGTTATAGTTGTATAGTGAATATTTTGCCTTATGATTGGTGTCCCACACCACCACCACCACCACCACCACCACCAAATGCCTATTAATATGGTACAGCTCCACAATACAAATTGGTCCATGGTTAGTGGCACCCTTCTACTGGAGGGGGTAGTATGTACATTTACTTACCTTTGCTACACATCTCACTGCAATAAATGTATCACCAGCATTTACTTGGGTAAGTAAAAATTGAACGGTCACTTAATATGAAGGTTACAGTTCCTGTCTAAGCCATCTTCCCCATTCTAATCAATATCTGTAACTTGGCTGTTGATCCTAGACTAACCTCAAGTTAAAGTACAGGGACAGCCATTTTACTGACTGATTGTGATGCACAGAAAGGAGTTGGTGAATTTAAACATGGCGATCTGATCAACCCCTCTGATTTCTGATGGCTGGAGGCGATTTGAGTTAAAGACTCAGAAAATGGATTTGTTGAATCAGGCTAGCTAGAGCAGCCAATATATTTAGAAACTACATTACCCATACTGCTCTGCAAACTTAAAGTTTAAGTGTTTAAACCTTTTTGGGGATTTATCTATACAAGTCACAATTAAAGAAATACATTTGCAAAAGGTTTATCTACGAAACCATTCCAAACCACATTGAATCATTTGGAAAGCTTATCAAATCAAGACCTTAGTCCTTACTACATAAATGTTTTCAGTACATACTCCATGACACTTGAATTCAGGCTGGCAAGGCATCATGGGAGATGTAGTAATAGCTGGTGCTGCGAATATAGCGACTGATAGAAAGGTTGTCAGATCCCATTGTACAGCGCTTCAGAATTTGCTGGCACTATATAAATCATAAAATAATTACTGCATTTTCCTGGAGTGTGTGCCCTGTCTTACTGGTTTGTCTCTCGGTTTGTAGACATTTTGAATTACGAGTTCGATACTCGGGATCTTGTCTGCCTGGTGTTGAGTTCAGTCGTTGGAGTCTGGTACATCCTGAAGAAGGTGAGGCCTGGATTATATATTAAAAGGATTTATTGCCTTGCAGAATCACATGAATACAGCCAGGTTTAGCTCTGAATAAGGTAGTCTGGACCGGAATGTGGTTGAAGAAAGTGAAGTTGTCCCTGCCTTTACATTCCTTACAATTTGTTGATTTTCTAATGCAACTTATCTTGCCCAGTCTCGACCCTTTTACCCACTGACATCACTTGCATCTCCTCCACATTCAGCACACATTGTACTGCGCTCTGAGTAGGACAGCGACTTGCACTGCATACACTGCTTCTTCATATGACATGCTATGTATACAGCTGTTTAAATCCCCATAGAAATCAATGCAGTGTGAGCTGCATACAGCCCTGTAAATGCATTTTAATCACTGCAGCTGAGCGATTGCGCTCAGCCGTGGTGATTCTAGGGCTAAAGAGAGTACATCTGGGTCTGAACAAGCCCTGGCAGTCTCTCTGCATGTCCTGAAGCTGTTTGTGATCGGTGCTTGGCTTTGTCAGCTGTCCAGCGCTGATCAATGTGTAATTGGCTGGCAAGGATTGCTTGATTTTAATATTACAGGGAAATCTTCCTGTAATACTGAAAACGGCCAGTAGATAGCGGCAACGTACCGTTCTTGAATGTTTTTACCAGGAAACCAATTGCTGATATCAGTACTGATATTAGCAGAGGGTTTCCTTAGTGTTAGGGTAAGGTAAGTGTTAATTCTGGATTTTGGTTTATCCTGGGTTAGGGATAGTGTAGGGTAAGTTTAGTATAGGTGCATAGTAAGTGTAAGTCTAGGAAAGGGCTGGTATGAACTACCAAAAATGGAATCACGAAAGTGGTCATGGTGGTGTGAGTAACCCTTCAATTCTTTATTTTTTTGTGTTATTTACCTACTCTTGAAGGACACTTAAAGGGACACTCCACCGCCCAAATACAAAATAAAAATCACTGTTTAGTAGATATACCCCAAATGAAACCCTACATGCATTTAATTGTATTTTTTTCATCGAGGTTATATCTAAAAACAGCTTGCAAACACTGCAGATCTCTTGGATGCTGCCTTTGCAAGCCCTCCCCTTCTAACCCCGCCCAGACTTTCTGTGGCTGTCCAATCACAAACTTCCCGGTGCAGTTCAATGAGAAGTCTTTGCAAGGCAGTTGCTCTGGGCAATTGCTGCCTCTTGATTTGCATGTAAATAAGCAAAGGTCTGGAATGTCCCTTTAAGGTATGTTTACTTAAATTATTTATTAGTTATTTTATATAATAGCAGTTACTTTAGATATTTGGAATCGTGCCAGTTGTTGATTAAAGTGACAGAAACAGCTAAATAAATTAATGGATTTAATGAGATTGATATTTGCTAATTTAACTCAACACTGCCATCATGTGTTGGAAAAGTAGTTTGTGGTTTGTTACAGTCTAAGAAACTTGTTTTCATTTTTATAATTCCTGAAGACAGACAGCATCACACACACCATGTGAGCTACCTGTGGGATTTCATTAAGTTAATGCAAGAATGCGACTACAGCTCTGTTTAATTTGCAGAAGTAGGATTTCCTTTTTAACTGGAGCTTTAACTGTGAAACAAAATCAGATGTGGGGATTAGAGGCACTTGCAGTGCAGTTAAACATGTGTATCCCCCAAAATGCAGACTAAACTTTTGGTAATAATTTCTAACTATATATTTGATACAAATATAGCAAGAATAATGCATAGAATTAGTGAATGTCTTTACATGAAGCAGACTTTATCCACCTTAATATGAAACGTGGTGACAAGTGACTATTATTTTTATGTCTCCTGACTTTGTGTGATATCATGCCCAGTTTATTACCTTCTGCCTCTACCGCACAACCTGTTCTTCACTGCTAGTATGTTCTTGTTTAGTTTCACTTTGTCTCCCCAGCATTGGATTGCCAATAACTTATTTGGTTTGGCTTTTGCGCTTAACGGCGTGGAACTTCTGCATCTGAACAACGTCAGTACCGGCTGCATCCTGTTGGGGGGGCTGTTCATCTACGACATCTTTTGGGTAAGTAAAGTAGTTATTACAGAATGCTGTGACATGTTTTGGTGTCGATGGACAGATGGGCGATAGGTGAAAGAAATTAATCCGTCGTCGTCCCCCGCCCTCTCTATCTTTTGATGTAGGTTTTTGGGACCAATGTCATGGTTACTGTGGCTAAATCTTTCGAGGCACCAATAAAATGTAAGTTTCTGCTTAGAAATCTTTAAATTATCCCAATTTCCTTCTCACTCTTCCCATGTCATAATCGTCTGCTCATGTCTCACACCCATTCTTTTTCTTTTTTTTTTCTCTCGCTTAATTTCCAAATTTCTCCCTACAGTTTTCCTATATGCCCTTCCTCCTATGATCAATTCTGCCTTGTGCTTCTTCTGGGTCAGTGGTAACAACCTGGTGCCTCTCCACCTGTTGTAAAGATACTACTCCCACAATGCTTTGCTTAGTCGTTATGCTCTGCAATAGCTGAAAAAGTCCCATTTAGACGCCCATTCCCATGTTCTATTTCATTAACCAGTGTTTTTCATTATTTCCCTTTCTGACAGTGGTGTTCCCCCAAGACCTCCTTGAGAGGGGCCTGCAAGCAAATAACTTCGCCATGCTGGGACTTGGCGACATCGTCATTCCAGGTCAGTCTTATGTCAAACTATGAAACCATCTATTATCGCTTCTTCACGCGTCTCCTGGCCTCATGCATCTGGGGATTTACTTATAAAATCAAAGGCATGTAAAGATTATAAATTGGGACATTTTCTCAGAAGCCAATTTTGTGGCTAATGTGCAAAATGCCAAGCTATAAAGAGGGGAGCTGGAATTATTTTTATAAATCATTGATATACACGCGTTTAGCCACAGCCAGGCTTGGCAGGTCTCTTCCCTAGTTACAAACATCTTGTTTATCTCCTGCTTGGGGCAATGATCTATCCCAAGTTGTCTTGAAAACACTCCCCTCTATGGGCTCAACCATCACTGCTGGGAGGCTGTTGGTAATACAGGTTTGTATTCCTAATGTTATAGTGTTCCTTTAATAAATAGCAATTAATTACATAACATGCTGCAGGGCTAACGAGTGCCTCTTGCATCATATAGGAATATTACATGACCTGCATTCTATATAATATTATTACAGCGGCACTTCCTCCCCTCCTTTGTTCTGCAGAGAAACCAGTATCCCAACTTCTCCTATTTGCTCTCTTCCTCTCCAGGTATTTTCATTGCCCTGCTGCTTCGTTTTGACATCAGGTGAGTGTGGTGGCGTGAGGGATTTTGGGTATAAAATGTACCAGGCAATGTCTTTACTCAACAGGGAAGAATTGATAAGAGATTAGAAATAGCCTTATTAGACAAACTTAAAATGGACGGATTCATATTCCCAGCTCGGTTATTTCTGGTAGCAGTTTGGCTGTATTCTCCATTTTAGTAAACTAGCTTGTGAGCTCTTCACTAAACTCCAAATTGTAGCAAACTGATATCTGAATTGCAAAATTAAGGCTAAAATCAGTGATTCCAAGAAATTCTCCAAGTAATGGCGTGGATGTCTTACCCCTAATTTTGCAGTTCCGATTTCTGTTCTCCACAATTTAAAATTTTAGATGTTATTGGAGAATGGTCCCTTTATCATGCATTCACCTGATTGGGCTTCGTATGGGACGACAGCCTCTGAAACCAACTGAAACGTGACAAATGCGTCTATATAGAACCTCAAGCTAAACCTAAAGAACATAAACTGGTGTTTGTGTGAGTTTTAAAGGGAACTGTCCCATCCCAAAGTTTTTAATATACTGTTTACTTATTCCTACCACATATATTTTTTTTACGTGTTTAATAACATTTTGAAAGTAAAAATTCACACCCTGTTATCATGCAGCTGGGCACCTCCATCTTAGTTCCCTGTTTAATCTTTCTCCTCCTCATTTGCAATGTTTGCCCTGGCTTTGCCTTGTCTAATATGGATTAGTATGTCCTTGCTAAATGTGTAATATAAAATAAACAAATAAGAGGATCACATGACAAAAAGTTTAATACAAGTTATAGGTGATTTTATTCAATGGCATATTTTCTAATGGTCCATTAGAGGCTTGCCAGGCAAGCAGGGATGTAAGGAAGTGAGCCCCGTCAGGAATGTGTCTTAAAGTGACAAAGTAGGCACCCAGTCCACTTCAGCTAATTGAAGTGGTCCGGGTGCTGTGCTCCCTTTGCACTTAGTGCTGCAATGTAAAACGTTCCAGAGAACTGTCTAACAGATGGCCACTAGAGGGCTTCCAGATTCTAAACTGACTTTTGGTCCGTTATCTGACGCTGGACGTCACTGCCGCGCATGTGCAATAGGTCTCCCCCCGCCGGCAGGGTAGTATCATGGGCGGAGCCTGACCAGGTAAGTGGCTGTAGGGGTTTTAATCCCTTCAGCCCTGCGGGAGGGGGTCTCCGAGCGAGAGGGGCACTCCATGAGCCTATAGTGCCAGGAAAACGGGCTTGTTTTCCTGGCACTATAGGATCCCTTTAACTGTTAGATGGGAAGGGAAGTCAATGACGGCCATGTGAGTGGTGTGATGGGTTTTGTTTTGCATATTATGTTTTAATATGAAACATAAGTGAGAAAGTTTTATTTATTGAGACCTGACAAGGATTGATTGCAGTGTATTTATATTTTTCAGCTTGAAGAAGAATTCACATACTTATTTCTACACCAGCTTTGTGGCGTATGTGTTTGGTCTGGCGCTGACCATTTTTGTCATGCACACCTTCAAACACGCACAGGTGAGCATTGCATGGCAACTTTCCAACTATTAGCACACAGTGTCTTCACATTTTTTTTATATACGTCAGTGCCTGTGCTAGCCAGAGACTTGATTCATTTCTCTCCATGTAACATAGAAAATTGCTGTTACCTATTTATGTGATCTCTTTGCTTGATCCCACAGCCGGCTCTCCTGTACTTGGTCCCCGCCTGTATTGGATTCCCCCTGATCGTTGCCTTGCTGAAAGGAGAACTGACTGAGATGTTTAGGTAAGCAGGTTACACGGGGTTTCATTGGGAGGCTTGGAGTAGAATAGAAGAGGTCAATCACTGCAACTTGCTGTCTTCAAACTTTCCTGTCTCCCATTTTTGCTGTTCTCTGTACTGAGCCTCTTTCACCCCCTGTGTTCTCTTATCTCTTTTCCCCCCATTGGTTTTGTCACCATACCCCACTTGTCCCGTCTCTTCTTCTCTCATTCTTCCTCTTCACTCCTGTTGTTCCCCCACCCACGTCTTTCACAGCTATGAGTCCACTGCGGAGCTCCTACCTCATACTCCTCGCCTCTCTCACTTTCCGGCGGTCTCTGGATCTCCTGCTAGTCTGGCCGAATCCATGCAGCAGAAAACCTGCTCCCCCCGCCGCAGGCGGCATCTGAACCCCAGCTCCATGTGAAGGGCCTTTCTCCTATCTGCCTTCAGACAGGTGCTTCGTAGCTAGATGACACTGCTTTTATCTCCATGCCTACTGACTTATTAGGACACATAAAGATAATAGCCCAGGACACTCCTAAACCTCCCCAACTTTAACTGACCACAAACTAATGTAATATCTGCATTTACGTAAAGTAATTGTCTCTCTTTCTTGGTATTTTGCCATATTTCCCTCCCAATTCCTTTCCTTCATTTTTCTATTTGCACCATTTCCTTGTGATTTCCATAACGCTAACCCTCTCATTCCGACTTACACTTCACAACCTGTGCCATAGCACCTACAGATAACTCAAGTACTGCTACTGGTTTTTGGTTTAGATATAAGAAAAAAGCGAAGACTAAGGTGGTGCGTATATGAACTAGGTAGAAAACTGCTGGTTATGGTTAATGAGGATTAGAAATGGCTGGATTTTAACTAGGATTGCCACATGACCTGGGTTTGCAAGGTTTTTGTATTCTGTTGCACATGACCTAATTACAGTAGACAGATTACAGAAATCACAAGTCTCTAGTGATCTGGCAAAACTAGTCTTACTCGAATATCAGATTAACCCCTTAAGGACACATGACATGATTCCCTTTTATTCCAGAAGTTTGGTCCTTAAGGGGTTAAAGCCACTGTAGTGGAATTCCTCCTATTTTAAAGGAATATAATTCAAAAGAAGAAATACTAGCACAGCGTCTACATGAGCCATTAGTCATTATAGAAGCACAGCGACCACATGAGCCATTAGTCATTATAGAAGCACAGCGACCACATGAACCATTAGTCATTATAGAAGCACAGCGACCACATGAGCCATTAGTCATTATAGAAGCACAGCGACCACATGAGCCATTAGTCATTATAGAAGCACAGCGTCCACATGAGCCATTAGTCATTATAGAAGCACAGCGACCACATGAGCCATTAGTCATTATAGAAGCACAGCGTCCACATGAGCCATTAGTCATTATAGAAGCACAGCGACCACATGAGCCATTAGTCATTATAGAAGCACAGCGACCACATTAGTCATTATAGAAGCACAGCGTCCACATGAGCCATTAGTCATTATAGAAGCACAGCGACCACATGAGCCATTAGTCATTATAGAAGCACAGCGTCCACATGAGCCATTAGTCATTATAGAAGCACAGCGTCCACATGAGCCATTAGTCATTATAGAAGCACAGCGTCCACATGAGCCATTAGTCATTATAGAAGCACAGCGTCCACATGAGCCATTAGTCATTATAGAAGCACAGCGTCCACATGAGCCATTAGTCATTATAGAAGCACAGCGACCACATGAGCCATTAGTCATTATAGAAGCACAGCGTCCACATGAGCCATTAGTCATTATAGAAGCACAGCGTCCACATGAGCCATTAGTCATTATAGAAGCACAGCGACCACATGAGCCATTAGTCATTATAGAAGCACAGCGACCACATGAGCCATTAGTCATTATAGAAGCACAGCGTCCACATGAGCCATTAGTCATTATAGAAGCACAGCGACCACATGAGCCATTAGTCATTATAGAAGCACAGCGTCCACATGAGCCATTGGTCATTATAGAAGCACAGCGTCCACATGAGCCATTGGTCATTATAGAAGCACAGCGTCCACATGAGCCATTAGTCATTATAGAAGCACAGCGTCCACATGAGCCATTAGTCATTATAGAAGCACAGCGTCCACATGAGCCATTAGTCATTATAGAAGCACAGCGTCCACATGAGCCATTAGTCATTATAGAAGCACAGCGTCCACACATGAGCCATTAGTCATTATAGAAGCACAGCGTCCACATGAGCCATTAGTCATTATAGAAGCACAGCACCACATGAGCCATTAGTCATTATAGAAGCACAGCGACCACACATGAGCCATTAGTCATTATAGAAGCACAGCGTCCACATGAGCCATTTAGTCATTATAGAAGCACAGCGACCACGAGGCCATTAGTCATTATAGAAGCACAGCGACCACATGAGCCATTAGTCATTATAGAAGCACAGTACATGAGCCATTGGTCATTATAGAAGCACAGCGACCACATGAGCCATTAGTCATTATAGAAGCACAGCGTCCACATGAGCCATTAGTCATTATAGAAGCACAGCGACCACATGAGCCATTAGTCATTATAGAAGCACAGCGTCCACATGAGCCATTGGTCATTATAGAAGCACAGCGTCCACATGAGCCATTGGTCATTATAGAAGCACAGCGTCCACATGAGCCATTAGTCATTATAGAAGCACAGCGTCCACATGAGCCATTAGTCATTATAGAAGCACAGCGACCACATGAGCCATTAGTCATTATAGAAGCACAGCGTCCACATGAGCCATTAGTCATTATAGAAGCACAGCGTCCACATGAGCCATTAGTCATTATAGAAGCACAGCGTCCACATGAGCCATTAGTCATTATAGAAGCACAGCGTCCACATGAGCCATTAGTCATTATAGAAGCACAGCGTCCACATGAGCCATTAGTCATTATAGAAGCACAGCGTCCACATGAGCCATTAGTCATTATAGAAGCACAGCGACCACATGAGCCATTAGTCATTATAGAAGCACAGCGTCCACATGAGCCATTAGTCATTATAGAAGCACAGCGTCCACATGAGCCATTAGTCATTATAGAAGCACAGCGACCACATGAGCCATTAGTCATTATAGAAGCACAGCGACCACATGAGCCATTAGTCATTATAGAAGCACACCGTGTTAATTATTCAGCCTGGGGCGTTGATGGGAGGCGAGATGGGTTTGAAGAATAAGGAAGTTTGAGGTTTTAGTATTGGATGGACCCTTTGTCACTTGCCTCCTCCTTTCTTCCAGATATGAAGAGCAGCCAAAGGAAGTGCCCACAGACAACAAGGATGAGACGGATAAGAAAGAGGATTGAGCCCCCATGCTACCCTGTTGTGTCATTAAGGGGGGAGGGCTGAAATCTCTTAAGAGAGAATGAGCCCCTTCCTCTTGCCATCTCTGTGTGTAAAACAGCTTGCGCCCCCTTAAGTGTCCCCTCGCCTGTCTTGGGCCTCCCCGTGTACCCTATGAGTGTCGCTGGGCCGGTATTTTTATATTTTGTATGGTGGATTTGCTTTATGGTATTAAATAGTCAGTGACTATGTGTCCGTGCGCCACCCTCGCCAAAAGCGTTGAGGAGGTGCCGACAGATATCGCTGTATATATGAAGAGATGTCTTGTCCTCCTCTGTGCAAACCCTTCCCCCTCCCAGGTCAAAGATGACAAGGGGAAGATGCCTAATGTCCATCTGATTGGGCTCTGGATTCTGAAAGTATACATTTTAAGGTTCTCTCCATACACCTTGTGGGACTTACAGGCTGACTTTTAATATGTAAATATTTTCAAATGCAGGATTTCTCTCTACCAGTGCTGATAGAATAATGTACATTATGGGATGTTTACATTGTACTTTTCTTATTGCCCAGAAACTGTCGGTCTTCAGTCTTATCCACTTAATATAGATTAGTTATTGTTGCCCTGTATCTCCCAAACCTCTTCCTCCGTTCTGCGCTGTGTGGCCCCTTTTCTATTACTCCTGGCATTGGGACATCTGCAGCGCTAAGTGGCCCTCCAGTGCCGACCACACCTCCCAGGTTTTCCAGCTGTGTTCTCCTATCTACGACAGTTCCAGATGTTGCATATTTCAGTAGCGAGAATGCCCTTATTTTTTTTTTGACACTTCCTTGTTCTGTTGTGTTCAGCCAGAACTTTTTTGGATGGTTTGTGCTGGTTCCTTGTTGATGCACCTCCTACATATTTTCTGTTCCTTATTTAATGCGTATGAGTGTGGTTTAGACTGAATGCTCTGATGGTTTTTATCACTAGCTGAAACAATTCATACCCTGTAGTTAAGTTTGCCGATACGTTCTACTTTTGTATCTTAATTAATGTCTGCTATGGTACTAGTTATATTCCCTTCGAAAATACTACGAAACAGACTCTTTGCCCTCCTGGCTGTCTATACCAGCTTTCATATCAAGGTTGACGTATTTATTTTCCTTGTTTCTATGTTATTTCCAGATCAGAATACTTTTCAGGAACTACATATAGTGCAACAACCTATGTGTGCATTCCGTCAGTATAGAAACTTTCATTTATGTTTTTTCAATTCTCAAAAAAAGTCTTAGCATTTTTCTGCGTTTTCTTTTAACCCTTCAGGAGTGGACTGTGTTCCATGCACCATAAAAAAATAATACTATAAAAATAAACAATGCCAAAAACTTAAAAAGCCAACCATGGGAGCTTTATCATCAGCTAACATTTTCGAGATCTAATATGTAAATAGTTTTTTAGGGAAACAAGTGGCTAGAGTGCACAATATATAAATAATAATAAATGAATTGCTTTTAACCTGGAATTTAATAAGATGGTCTATTGTTTTGTTATTTTAATTGGAATACAGAAGAAAAGAATGGATCCTAGATCGCCAATACGTTCTTGCAGTCCGTTTTGCTAGCCAATCAAGAGACTCCCTCTGTTTAAAACATGACCAGATGAAAATGAACTTTCTTTTAGCCTGTTAAACAGCCGATACTCACTTGAACTGTTGAAATGTAATTGAAGTGCTCCCAGTGATACAACACACAAACCTACTTTTTCTTTTCTTTCTTTTTTTTTTTTTTTAAATCCTTTATTTTAGGGTGTTCGCAATGCAATTGGAAAGCATTCAGAACAAGAATACAATTATACAACACAAGGGTATACCAGCAAAAGTCAAACATAGCGTAGATCAGCACCAATAAAGGGTATACATATACACAAATCTTAGCTATCACATATTTAGATTTTTATATATGAAGATATGACAAAATGGAGAGTCTGCTAGCCACTGCGCACCTAGATATTTCCATTGTCTTCAGTAAGCCCTTGTGAACGAGCAGGAGCTAGGATACTCGAATAGCAAAGTTGGTCAGTTTTGGGGATTTTTTCACCAGAGTGCTTAGGCTGAGAGAGTAACTGAGAAATAGCAAAGGAAATGAATCGAGAACAAGAAACTTGAAAGATCGGCTTAGTGTGGAGGAAGAATGTATAAGCACGGGGCCGTATGGTGCGTTTGGCAAGAGTGCCCAAACCTGCGTGCCTTAATTCTCCATTGGGACTGTTCCAGGGACCTCATGAGGAAAAACCCACTTTCTAAACTGGCTGAGTTTGCTTCTTGCATATTTATAAAGGACCACCAATCTAAGCACCATAAAAAGTTAGTTTTTTCTAAAGTTATGGTTTATAATGTGCCCTTCCCCAAGTGGCTTTTAACTGCAAATATATGCAAACGTGCAGCATTAAGAAGGTGATATCAGTCATATCACAGGAGGAAATGTAATTCTTCCTTTGCTGTCCTGTCTGTAGTCAGTCACAAATACACCAGTGGCTGAATTGCTTCCTCTCCTGTCCTTGCAGAGAGTCCACATTGGCAGCTTGGCAGGTTATTGCACAATGCATGAATCCTAAAACTACTGGACAGAAACCCCCCACCAGCCAAGATCAGCCTAAGGGCCTCCTGATTGGTGCGGCATCTTCCTGGTCTGCCAGCTGGAGCACTGGCAAGTTAGACTGAGCAGCAGTTGGTCAGATAACCGAAAAGTTAAAAAGGTGAAATGTTCTAAAATATATATCTCAATATACATTATTTAAAAAAAAATAAAAATCTAAGTTTCAGTAAATCAAAAAAAAGAAGTGAAAATGTGTTGACAGTTGAGCTTTTAATAAACAGCTAAAATTGGAGAACTGCAGAGGAAATCTGTATATAATCTGATAAAGATTGCGAAACCCTGGCAATGTAGAACATCTGCAAAACAATTTCCAGTATTACTTCTGTCTCTGTGCAGAGTTTATTCTGGTTGGGAGAGAGAATTACTGTTGTACATGGCTTTGGCCGAATATCTGCAGAACCAGCAATGTTCGTGTTTGGAAACGGATGGGTTTGTGTCCTGCTCATGTTAGCTCCATTGTATCCACCAATCCTCTGTACTTCTAATGGCCCCCTAAACAAAATGTAATCGGTTTTGACCTTTTGGGGGGATGCGGTAAGTAATACAATCTAACAAGCACCAAGGTGGAACACCAGAACATTTATTTTATTCAGCACATATCAGAATTACAAATTACCAGTGTGCGTCATCTGGATAGCTAAACTCAGGTGCTATGAAATTTTGCTTTTTTTTTATCACTCCACTGAGCACCAAATTATAATGAATTGAAAAACGCGAAATATAGGCTAAAATAGCTAAGCTATTTCCTCCCCTAAATATTGCATGTAGACCCATTAATTGAAGGTCCTATGCTCAAGTCAGTACACAAATCAAGCCTCCTAAAGGCACCATGTCAGCATTGGTTGATGGCTATTTATATCGGAGAAAGCAACAAAAATTCCAAATGTCACTAAACTTCCCTTTAGTATTACATTGTACCAAATTTACTATCTTTAGTTCATTCTTTTAGTTGTGCAACTATGAGTAGGATTTTAAAAACCACTCTCCAAAAATATTTCCTTTAAAAAAAAAAAAAAATTCCCCCTCCTTTAAACACATTGGGACAATTGATTAGTAATGCGACGGAGGTAAGTGAACATATGCATTGGCATTCGCTGTACTTTTGTGTCCATGGCAACATCATCCTCTCTGTGATACTCTAGGTCAGGCATAGGCAACCGTCGGCACTGCAGGTGTTTTGGACTACACATCCCATGATGCTTTGCCAGAGCATTATGGGGGATGTAGTCCACAACATCAGGAGTGCCGAAGGTTGTCTACCCCTGCTCTATGTTCTCTATTGCCCTATGCGTACAAGCAGAACTGCAGGGATTTAAAAATAGGACAATGGTCACTTCAAAGCTATTTCTAATATAATAATCCTTTTTAACAAGTTTTGAAATGACCTTATTTTTGTGTATCAGATGACCCCATAGTACAGCTTTATGAGCCAGCCACACCGTGGGTCCCGCAAGCCCTGGTGTAGTGTTTTCCAAAAAGTAGTTTTGTAGGACAGTAGAACTATTTTCTACCACCTCCTGGTTTGTTTGTTTTTTTAAAATAAGGTACTTAAAGGGACTCTCCAGTGTCACCCCTTATCCCATGTTGCTGATGGGGTTAAAACCCCTTCAGTGACTTACCTGAACCCAGCGCCGATGGACATCAGGCTCCGGCCATGCTCATCGTCAGCCGGCAGAGAGGACCTAAAGCGCATGCGCGGCAATGGCTGCGCACGCGCATTATACCTCCCCATAGGAAAGCATTCAATGCTTTCCTATTGGGATTCTGGCGACGCTGGAGGTCCTCCTGCATAGCGTGAGGACGTCCAGTGTTGTTTAAAACACTTTTTTTACACTAGAGGTGGACTTAACCCTGCAAGGTAATTATTGCAGTTTATAAAAGCTGTAATAATTACACTTGCAGGGTTAAGGGTGGTGGGAGTTGGCACCCAGACCACTTCTATGGGCAGAAGTCGTCTGGAGGCCATTGAGTGCCATAACCGAGGGGCTGGGGGAACAAAATATTTTAGGTAAATGATGATATGGGTGTGATTCAACCAGGAAACTTTATTTATTTCAAACTTCGTAAATAATGGGATGACCCTTCAGGAAGTAAGAAATAAGCAAAGGACATTTGCATTGAAAAAGGGCTTGTGCCCGAAACGTTTGCCTGTCTTTTATGTCCTTTAAATAAATACTTGGTAGCACATTGGTGCACACTACAACTGGAAGCGCAGACCTCATTTCTGTGTTTATTGAGAAATAAGCCAATGTGAGAGTAAGAGTATGTATCACGAGGAGCTGAGTAATAGGTATAATCGGCTGTGTCTGGGGCCGGGCCCTCCAAGTCTCTACGAGTCCCTGAGAATCAAGGAATTTGCCAAGTACTTTATAATGTCCTGCTGCATCATCCCTGATCATTCCTGGAGGTGAACTACAATCAGCTGCAGAACAGAAGACCTCCCCCACCCGCAAACTTATCGGTCATTAATGGACCCACCAGTGCCGATACCTCTTCCGAAAAATGCCTATCTATAGAATTAGGAGCATAATTCTTTAATAAGTATAGTCTATGGTCACATAATCGCCCTGTGAGGAGGATGTATCTTTACTCAGCAAAAGTACATACGTGATTTACATGAAAACTGCTTTTTAATGGATTAGACATTTTATTTATTTTGAGGACAAAATTGCCAAGTTGCAAACAGCTTTTTTTCCCCCAGTTTGACTATTTTATGAATTCCTGACAATTCCCTGATTAGTGCAAAACTCTACATTGTACACAACCAAACACACCCCGTCATTCAAACACACAGCACACAGGCATGCCACAGCTTTCAAGTAGCAACAGTACATACAAACACGTAATTGCATTCAAATGCTAACACAACACACAGAGACCCCGATGTTCACACAGACACTCAATACAAAAACACGCTTACATTCAAACACTCAAAAACTGCCCACAAATAAAATCCTCCAAGGACGGGCAAATTGTGGACTCCCAGCTGGGAGATGTACGGGGCTCTACCTTTTGGCCACCCTTGCGCTGGAGGGGGCAAAATAATTTCTTGCAGCAGGGCCCCCTCTATATTCGTTCAGCCACTGGCGCCCGGGCTGTAGTGGTTGTGGTGGTTGAAGTAACCCTTTAATAGGATGTTTCCAGATTTAGTGATCTAGCATTCCGAGTACAATTCCCATTACTCTCAGCCAAGCCAATTGCTCCAGGGCCAAGGATGGACAGCCCTGATATACATGGAGATCAAAAGTCTTCAGATCAGCTTCTAATGTCTTCCGTCTCCTTCTGCCATGACCACAATACAGGGGAAGTCTTCCTATAGTAACACAAACTGAAACCCTCAATGCTAGCCTTGTTCCTGTCATTAAACTCTCAATTCTTACCAATATATTAATCTGCTTCCCCATTACTTAAAAGAACATAAAGCTGTATTCCTATGCAATGTAATTATTGCAGTTCTTTTACAAATAGCCAAGTGTAGAATATTGCATATTCTATGTTTCTATTGATTATTTATATGGATGTGTGGATTGACATAAGTAACAGATGGTATCAATAAGTCACAAGGCATTCAAATTGGAAACATTCTCCAGTAATATTATTTTGGTCTAAAATGTGCAGTTGTCTTTTCCCAGTTTACCGAATAATCCGAAAGTAAACTGATAAACCATTGATCTCCCAGGCTGGGAACCTTGAAGTGGCCGCTCCCTGTGCTTAACAAAATACTATAGGATCAGGAACCCAAACATACATTTTTACAAAAACCCCACAAAAGTCACATCCCCTGTTAGCCACTATCTGGGTGACCAACATATCCAAAAATCACCCAGATCGGTTCAGGGGTTCAGGAATTTCCTTAAAGTCATAGTTTTGACCGACCGTGCACATGGTCCTATGCCTAAAACAGTTCCAGGGAATCAGGGCGAATGGTCGGTCTCTCTTTCTGGAGTACAAAAGTACATAAATCATTTGAACGGAGCCTTTTAAAGGACAAGGTATATTGCAGGGCCCATAGTCCTGAGGCAGGAGGCTGGCAAGCACGCTCCTCCAGGAGCCCGTGGCGAGGTTCAGTTCGTCACAATTGTTATAGGTCATACCATCTAAAACTCGCATCTAGGAGTATTTTTGCTGAACTAATAGCTGCAATCAGTTAACGGGAAACTTGCAAAATTTCATCCTAAGCAAAACAACTAACGAGATTAAAAAAAAAAACTAGTTAAAATATTTATGAATTGCTCAAGTTGACTGTTTTGGAATTTTTAAGAAACTCCAACACAGTCAAAATATATACCAAGACAAAGTAGGGACAAAAAAACAGAACTACGGCAAGAAAATTAAGAACAAATATGTTGTATGTAACAAGTTGTAAAGAAAACAAGTTGCAAGAGAGTACTGAGAACGGACCACAGCTCGATCAGCCTGCCCCCAGACGATCGTTTCAAGCCGATACTAGACAGGTGCAATTCGGCTCAGTCCAAATTGAAATTCGGACGAATTTCAGACATTCGGATGCTTCACAATGTCCGAAGTGCCGAATTTTGGAATGCAGAACCAAACCAAATTTTTTGGCCATGCACATCCCTAGCCGATACGTTTCTAAGCACCGTGAGCAAGGGGTCCACATCTGGATTACCCTTTAAATTTAGGGAGGGCAAAAAAAAAACCAAGTTGCAACATGCAAAGAGAATTTAAAATCCATGTCACGTGTTTAATACGGGTTAAATCTAGAGAAAACTGTGCAGTGACACTGCAGGGGGCATGATCTATCGACCAAGACCACTTCATTAAGCTAAAGGTATTGTGCTGCTACATGTGTCCCTTTAAGGCAGCGATGGCTGATTTTGTCTCCGATAAGGGCATTCCCATGATGCTCAGCAACTCTGTAGTCTACAAACATCTGTAGGGCGATGATTAACCATCACAATATATAAACTAACATTCTGCTCTGTAACAGTTCCCTTTCAATTCATAACTAAATAAGAGGGAATTTGAATAGACGCTAGTCGAGTCCATATTGTTTCCTTAAACATCGGCCAATTTCGTAATTAAATATTTGCTTATTTAAAAAAAAAAGAAAAGAAAAAAAGCTATGCAAGGCGCGATTGACCGCATGCTGTTCTCTTCCTCTTTCAAGTAGTTTCTATATCTGAGCTAACAGATAGCAATCAAGGTGCCTTTGAACTGTATTTCTTAGCAAAAAGTACTTGGGGTTCTGTATCCAATTGTGTATATTATGCATTAGTTTGTGAATGCACAAATATTCTGCATGTTGTATTGAGTGTTTGAGTACATACAGTTTATTATTGTGTTTTATGTTTGTATATTACAGTTTGTGTGTTTATGAGATGTGTATGCGGTGGTGTGTGTTATTTTTCTGGGTCATTTTTCTTACCACCTTCTCTGCCCTGTGTATAATTTCTGTCTATGTAGTTGTGTATGTAGTTATATTTCTTGTATATTTGTTGTTGCAGTGTTTGATTTTTGCTGTTGTGTTTGTGTGTATGAACTGCATAAAGTGTGTGAATTGTGTTCATTAGTTGTGCATGTGGCTGTTTAAATGGATTGCATTTGTGTGATGTGTGTCATGGCTCTCAGTGCATTACACACGTTGTCTATGATGCAGGTTATGTATTATATGATTCGTGTTATATATGGGCTATGTATTATCGATTTATGTATTACATGGGCTATGTATTATATGAGAGGTGTATTATATAAGGTGTGTATTATATGGGCTATGTCATTTGTGACCTTATTCCCTCCCTGCTCCCACTACATAGCCTCTCGTTTTTTTCCCACACATGTAATACTGCATACAGCATCCTTACACACAGACACTATTATTACAATTACTTATATAGCACCAACATATTCTGCAGCGCTGTACAATAGGTAAAGCAAGACAAAGTATTAATTCTAACACAACACGTTGTCATACAGAAACAGAACATCGCAAGCAGCATCCCACACACGCAACCACACAAGTATCTTCTAAACACGTGTGGGGACACGGCTTGTGATGTCACCAGCTAACACAGAGAAGGTGTATCAGTACATGGGCTTTATTTCTCTGTTTTAATGGCAGCCAGCAGGGGTTACTCCATCAAAATTTTTTAAATAAATAAATCCTATTGTTCTATCTTTCTATTGCCGGGGGCCCTGTGAGCTGTCAGTCCGCCCCGATTGTGGGTGTGAGTCTCAGTCAGCAGGCTGCAGTTCTCTCCCTCCTCTGGTATCAGTTCCTACTTTCACTATTAGTTTACTAGTTATTAGACTGACTTCAGCCTGGACCAGCATTCAGAACCTGCAGAACCTCACATTCCCGGGTCCGTGCACCAGCATTCAGAACCTGCAGAACCCACATTCCTGGGTCCGTCCCCAGCCTGGAACCAGCATTCAGAACCTCACATTCCTCGGATCTATCTACCAGCCTGGTGAGTGGCACAGCCTGTCTGGCATGGTTACTCTGTCAGTAATCACTTCCACCTGAAATATCTATAAACTATCTAAAAATATCTATAAACTATCTGTACAACTAATCCAACACTCTCTGCTACACTATCTGTACAACTAATCCAACATCCTCTGCTACATTATCTGTACAACTAATCCAACACTCTCTGCTACACTATCTGTACAACTAATCCAACACCCTCTGCTACACTATCTGTACAACTAATCCAACATCCTCTGCTACACTATCTGTACAACTAATCCAACACCCTCTGCTACACTATCTGTACAACTAATCCAACACCCTCTGCTACACTATCTGTACAACTAATCCAACACTCTCTGCTACACTATCTGTACAACTAATCCAACACCCTCTGCTACACTATCTGTACAACTAATCCAACACCCTCTGCTACACTATCTGTACAACTAATCCAACACCCTCTGCTACACTATCTGTACAACTAATCCAACATCCTCTGCTACACTATCTGTACAACTAATCCAACATCCTCTGCTACACTATCTGTACAACTAATCCAACACCCTCTGCTACACTATCTGTACAACTAATCCAACACCCTCTGCTACACTATCTGTACAACTAATCCAACACTCTCTGCTACACTATCTGTACAACTAATCCAACATCCTCTGCTACACTATCTGTACAACTAATCCAACACTCTCTGCTACACTATCTGTACAACTAATCCAACATCCTCTGCTACACTATCTGTACAACTAATCCAACACCCTCTGCTACATTATCTGTACAACTAATCCAACATCCTCTGCTACACTATCTGTACAATTAATCCAACATCCTCTGCTACACTATCTGTACAACTAATCCAACACCCTCTGCTACACTATCTGTACAACTAATCCAACACCCTCTGCTACACTATCTGTACAACTAATCCAACACCCTCTGCTACACTATCTGTACAACTAATCCAACACCCTCTGCTACACTATCTGTACAACTAATCCAACACCCTCTGCTACACTATCTGTACAACTAATCCAACACCCTCTGCTACACTATCTGTACAACTAATCCAACACCTCTGCTACATTATCTTCGTACAACTAATCCAACATCCTCTGCTACACTATCTGTACAACTAATCCAACAATCCTCTGCTACACTATCTGTACAACTAATCCAACACCCTCTGCTACACTATCTGTACAACTAATCCAACACCCTCTGCTACACTATCTGTACAACTAATCCAACACCCTTCTACACTATCTGTACAACTAATCAACACATTCGTGCTAATCCAACACCACTGTACAACTAATCAACACCTCTGCTACACTATCTGTACAACTAATCAACACCTCTGCTACACTATCTGTACAACTAATCCAACACTTTCTGCTACACTATCTGTACAACTAATCCAACATCCTCTGCTACACTATCTGTACAACTAATCCAACACTCTCTGCTACACTATCTGTACAACTAATCCAACATCCTCTGCTACACTATCTGTACAACTATCTGTACAACTAATCCAACACCCTCTGCTACACTATCTGTACAACTAATCCAACATCCTCTGCTACACTATCTGTACAACTAATCCAACATCCTCTGCTACACTATCTGTACAACTAATCCAACACCCTCTGCTACACTATCTGTACAACTAATCCAACACCCTCTGCTACACTATCTGTACAACTAATCCAACATCCTCTGTACACTACCAACTATCTGTACAACTAATCCACTACTGTACAACTAATCCAACACCCTCTGCTACACTATCTGTACAACTAATCCAACACCCTCTGCTACACTATCTGTACAACTAATCCAACACCCTCTGCTACACTATCTGTACAACTAATCCAACACCCTCTGCTACACTATCTGTACAACTAATCCAACACCCTCTGCTACACTATCTGTACAACTAATCCAACACCCTCTGCTACACTATCTGTACAACTAATCCAACATCCTCTGCTACACTATCTGTACAACTAATCCAACACTCTCTGCTACACTATCTGTACAACTAATCCAACATCCTCTGCTACACTATCTTTACAAGTAATCCAACATCCTCTGCTACACTATCTGTACAACTAATCAACCCCCTCTGCTACACTATCTGTACAACTAATCCAACATCCTCTGCTACACTATCTGTACAACTAATTCAACATCCTCTGCTACACTATCTGTACAACTAATCAACACCCTCTGCTACACTATCTGTACAACTAATCCAACATCCTCTTCTACACTATCTGTACAACACTCTCTGCTGTGCAGCACTGACCCAGGAAGCACCACTAGTGGCTGTCTGAGTGATTGCTGGAGGTGTCCCTAGGCTGTATTGAAATACTTTTTTTTCTCTGAAAAGGCAGTTTTTTACATTAAAAACCTGCAGGGACTGACTTTAGAAACCAGAACAACTACAATAAGCTGTCCCTTTAATGGAATTACTACCTTTTCAGGGCTCAGTCTATGCTTGAACACTTGTGCCTATCCACCTTTTGTAAAGCATGGTCTTCTTTCTCCACTGCCACATGCACAGACTTCACCAGGATCTGGAGATCTGAGCATAATATTTCACTATGTGATGCTGAGTGGGAATCAATTTACTGTGCAATGGCCACTACTATGCAAGAATCTGCTTATACAATTCTAATCCAAGTAAATCTACACAAATCTTACCGTCTATGTCTGCCGCGTGTAAGATGCTACTCACACCCTGAAACCTACCTGCACACATACCTGGATCTCTAATGCGATGCTTGGCAAATGCCCAAACTGAAATACGGTCTGTTCCTTAAACTCCCCATACAATATCCCCAGACAGATGAGGCCAGAGACCCCTCCGTCCTTTTTGGAATGGTTTGTTGGGATAAAGGAGACACACCTCATGCACCTAAAAATTATTTCAGCATTAAATGCAGAGTTAAGCTAGAATGTTTGGATATTTTACATATTTTTATCTCTTTTTTTTTCTTTTTCTGTACCTTAACCTGTACCCACAATTCAAGAAATACCTCGACTGGAGAAACTGCATTTTTTTCCCCGTGTCCTTTCTTTTCCTATCTGTGATATTTTAATGCCGCTACTTGTATTTGAACAATCCTTCTCTTTATTGTGTGATCAGAACCCGTTGTTATCCTGTTTTTCGTTTTTGTTTTTATTATACCACAACACGTGTGCTAACATTTTCATGACATTTCTAGAAGAAAGAGGGTAACTTTCAGTTCCCATATCCCTCTAACCAAACTTGCTCTGGGACCTGCATTGATCTTACTGCTTCTCTGGACTCTCCTACTAATGCCTGTTTTTTTCTGCATTCTCCTCTTCCTGGCATCCCTTTGCCCACGCTATACCCACATTACCCCTGGTATTCCATGCTCATACTCTGTTTGCTGATATCCAATTCCCTAATCTCCATTATAGCCAAGTATCCCTCTGTTCCTTTTGTCTCCAGGTATTCATTTTGTCTGCCTCATTCAATGCCAACATCTTGACCTTTCCCTGTCTTACCATCGTGTCTTCCAGGTAATGAAATGTATTCTGCTCATCATCTTCTATCTCCCCCTCTCTGCTGCAAACCAGGAACCCGGTGTGAAAGGGCGATTGACTTCAAAAGGATTACAATATGGTGAGAGAGGGTGCTTGCTGGATGTGGGGAACAAGATGAAGGATAAATTGCACTTGGGCAGGCGTATCTCAGCCCAGGATTCCGAGGGTTCTATATGGAACCCTGCAGAATAGGTTGTGTTCCCCTAAACATTCTCCTACTAGAGGTATCAGAAGTCCAGATGTTGGGTAAACTGAAGTTTGTCATTCTTTATTTGAGTATAATTAATTTCCTTAGTTCATGAAAACAACTAAATATGGGTACTAGATCAATTGCTTTTTCTTAACCTCAAAATCTGAGTTTTTGGGTCTGGTTTCTTGTGTTTTTAGATGTGGTGGAAGGAGAATTCAAGATAAGGAGTGTTGGTATCATTGGTACAAGACATAATGATCTGTGCCTGGAAGGCAAAGAAAAAAAATGACTGGCAACATTTTCTCAACTGAGGGGAGGGATTATAGGGATTGTTGTCAGGATGGTTTGGTCAGTGGAGAGTGTTTCCTTACATAGTAGTAACATACGTTTTGTTCTTCTAAGGCTTGCAGGCGGGGTTGGAGGAGTTGCAAAGCAGATTGTCTTCTTTCCAGATTCCTGATGTCACAGGGTCCATCTCGGTTGCCATCCTCGGTACCATATATTACTCTGTGACAAGGTACGTTGGCGGATGATTCTGTTGAAGGGATGATTCTGTTGAAGGGATGGAAAATCTAGACAGAATGTACTGTCAATTCTCAGGCTCGAGATAAAAGTATCTAAAAGTTCACAAATGTACAAAGCTTCCTTTACAATGCAGAGCAGAATGTTGTCATCATTGTGAGACCTACAAATTCCAAACTAACCTTTGATGTTCCCATGTCATTACCTAGTCTACAAATCGAGAACCTGGATCTTTCGAATTCCAATCTCTCATTTATATCTGACACGGGAGTCAACATGGAGATCAGCAATGGTCAGCTATCGATCACTGGATATTTGCGGATAGAAACAGTGCTATTGTACGTATCTCTCCCAGGTGAAGTATGTAGTATGTCTGGGGAGGCTGTGGTTAATGGTGGGAGGATTATGGATGGAATAAAAAAACAGCTTGGCATGATACGCATTGAGAACAAAGGAATGGGCAGTATTAGCGTCGTAGTTTAGTGTCAACAAGCGGATGTAGGACAATACCTCTATGAGATCTATATTTTCATACTTTCTCTCCTTAGTTCAGCATCCACCAACCTTGAAGTTGTAGTCTCCGGCCTGTCCCTCACAGGTATTGTTGGTGTAACGGGTGATGACACCGGCCATGGCAAAGTATGGGACGGAGGGTGCAACTCTGAAGTAAACAATGTGAACATCAATTTCCATGGGGGATCTGGGTAAGTAGTGTACTTGGAATAGTATGACTTTATTGGAATCAGACCAGACAATGTTTTGAGATGCAGTCAGCTGGAGTATTGGATAAAGCCGGGTTCTCAAACATACAGCCTGATAGGCTCATGAACCCAGCTTGCTGGCCTTTAATGGGACTGCATGGGTGGGCAGGAAGAGAGGGATATAAAGGGGCTCAGAGGCAGAGACGGAGAGATAAATTGGGGACAATCGGAGCCTCAGAGGAACAAAGAGAATGATGTGGGAGGTCGACAGAGAGACAGACATTAAGGGATAATGAGAAAGAGAGGCATTGCTGTGGAGACCAGAGAGGCGGTAAGAGGTAGGTAGAGGTAGGATGGGCATTGAGACAGAAATGAATAAGACTGGTGGGAGCCAAGAGAGTTATAAAGCAGGGAAGCTGGGGAGGACAGAGGGTAAATCACAGACAGAGGTAAATGCTATGCGACGCGGAGAAAGAAAACAAAACCAGGTGATAAGACATAGAGCAAGATTTAGAAAAACATTTTTTTAGAACAAAGCATGTAGAGTGGATTAAGTGTGTAAGAATGTATGTGGACCTTTTATGTGAGGTGTTGCAATGTATATTCTTTCATTATGAACACACAGGTGGTTTCTCAGAATGTTCAAAAGCTCGATAATTGGACCCGTTTACGACGCTTTGACTAAGCAGGTAAACAGCCCGGCCAATGGTAGGATCCCAATCCCTCCCCAATATGGCTCTTCACTGTGTGTATCTTAACCACCTTTTTATTTATTAACCCATAGTTTCTTTTATGTTTCTCACCTCCTTTAGGGTATCCTATACTCCCTTTTTGTGTTAAGTGTATCTCTTACAAACCCTCCTTATGTGTTTCTTTCTCCCCCCTTTCCACTTTGTGTGTCTCTTACTCCCCACAGCCACATTGTCTATCTCTTTGTTCCCCCAACCCCTTTGTGTGTCTCTTTCTACCCTCCAATCCTATTGTTTGTCTCTTATATCCCCAATCTCCTTTGTGTGTCTCTTTCTCCCCCTAGTTTATTTTTGTGTCTCATTCTCCCCCAGCCCCTTTGTGTGTCACTAACTCACGCACCAGGTCACGGTGTGTCTCTTACATTCCTCCAGCTCTTTTGTGTGTCTCCCCAGTCTCTCTCTGTGTCTCTTTTTGTATCTCTTACTCCATCTCCAGTGCTCCACCGGGCTGGTGCACCCTAAGGCGGCCGCCTGTGCCACCTTATGATAACCACGGCCCTGGCAAACAGCGATTCAAAGGGTGGGTGCATGTTGTGGACATGTGTGAAGGGACTACTGACAAGCATCTTTTACTTTTTCTGTAGCTTTGTCCGCAGTTTGAAAAAGCGCTCGAACAGATGGAGCAAACATTGAGCAGTCTGCCAGGTAATGCACAAAGTAGTGATAATAATAATATTAATATAATTCAATAAATAAAATTGATCTGTGAATAAAGAAAATAAATTTGAATCTTGGCATCACCTCTGGTACATAGTCCCCATTGTGTGTCCTGAATGCCCAAATGTGGCTTACGACTACCCAACATGCATTGTAACATTGTAACACAGCATCATGTTTCTCGGAATGCCTAGATGTGTCCTGCTAGACCAAGCAACCAAACATGCCCAATACCATGCCCTCTAAAACATGCCCCCCGATTAGCGTCATGTGACCAATGTTTGCCCCACATGCCATCATAACCACACCTCTTTTAACATGAAACATACAACACACAAGCATTACTCCAGTGTAATACTAACGCGTGTTTCTGCAGTGGTCAGTATCATGGATTCAGTGGCCTCTTTGGAATACCCACTGGTTGACTTGCCACTGATCACAGAGCAAAGTCTGGACGTCTTCATTAAGGTAACTGTGAGGCCAGAGTAGATGCGAGGAGTGGTGCTCTATGACTGGTTTTAATATTTTTTTTATTCTATCCCAGGGGCAGTTTATTGGCCGATCACAGCGCTGGGACCCACCAGACCACCCAGAGAAGCTCGTTCTACCAGACATAGACTCCCGCATGGTCCTACTTGCTCTGTCCCAGTTCTCTGTCAACTCAGCAGGCTACGTGCACTATATGTCTGGAATCCTAAGCTATAACGTTACCGATGATCTGGTGAGGCGAAAGAATCCAAGTTTGTTTTTTGTTGTTGTATGTTACTCTCCGACCTCTACTTAAAGCTGTGGGTTAGAACGAGTGTTAAATTGTGCAAAGATTACATGTTAAGGAAATCCCAAGAGAGTGGTTGAAAGACTTTTGTTTTAGGAGATAGGGTAAGAGGTTGGGGCAGGGTGTGGGAATATTTTGGTTATTTTTTTAATGACTTCATCAAGTATTTTAATTAACACAGCTAGTTAAGAATTGGACATGCATTATTCATTGTGGTTTAAAGATAGATTATTGATATTGAGTTCTGTGAATTTGACGATACTTGATAAATGCTCTTTTCAGATACCCAAACAATCACCCCTGCGGCTAAACACGAAAAGTTTATCGACCTTCGTTCCAGAGGTGAGAAATCTGTTTTATTTAAGATTGAGGTGACTGCAAAATGTACCCTACTTGCATGATATAAAGGGTTATTCTACACATTATGACCACTTCAGTGATTTGAAGTGGTCATCGTGCATGCACTCTGTGTGTACATCATTTCGCTTTCAAAGACCGCACCTACACAGTTTAACCCCTCTGCTGCCAGTGGTATAAATCCACTTCTAGCATCTTAACTGGGGCGGCATTATCCAGCCCGGAACATAATTGGGCTAATATAAATTCTGTGCATATTGGAATGCCTGCCGTCAGCATGCCGGTGACACGCATCCAGTAGCAACATAGATACCCCCCTCCCGGGCATCCCATGACCTCCCCTTAGCCTGTTTTCTCCCTACAACCCTGCCCTTCCAGCAACGGAGAATGATGTCAATAAGGATTCAGCTGTAGGGAGAACTTGGTCTTTGTGATAGAATAGAGGTAATTATGCTTAATATTATATATTTATTATCTTTGACTAGGAGGGACCAGCACAGTTAAGGTTAGTCTAACCCTAACCAGCATTTATAAAACTTTATATAAAAAGAAGACCCATAGTTACAGCAAGTCTCGCTATATATATATATATATATTGCAAAAAATTATTTTTATATGACTGTTAAAGGGCCATGCTCAGCAAACACTCCAAGCACCATAACGAATGCAGCTTGATCCCATAATTAATGTGAGGGTTGTTAGGAATTCAAAGCAAATTTCAAATGTAATTGTAAATGTAATGTTAATTAGCTGAACTGGAAAAAAATCTCCAATCCATCGCTGCTTCCTGCTCGTAGCTTCATATGGAAATTTTGAAGTTTAGCCATTTTGGATTTAAATTTCAGATCCACTTTGATTTCCCAGCAGACCTCTCGTTAGTGAAAAGCCCAATTAGGGTATCTAATCATTAAACACTGAACTGCATTGAGCTGACAACTCATTTATAAAATGTCCATTAATACATTGCGCAAAATAAAAAATATTTTCACATCCTTTTATTGCAAGTCCATTGTGACGTGACCACAACCCACTGTTTAGTGAATACAGCCAGTTAGTGATATCCTTTTATCGAATTTTATTTCTTCATTCATTTTATTTATTTTCACATTATAATCCCTTTTTATTCTTACTGCAGATTCTTACTCGGTTTCCGGATTCTCCCCCGCTGCTCCTGCATATCTCGGCCCATTCACCCCCTGCCGTCAACTGCCAGCCCGATATTCTCACCGTGGACGCCAGCGCAGACATTCATCTCTACGCCATGGCCGCGAACCATTCTCTAGTTCCCATCTTTCAGATGCAGGCAGTAAGTGGGCGCAGTGTGGTTAGGGAGTATTGTTATCTGGCGGGAGTAGATAATGATATCGTCCTTGGAGTGGATACAAACAGGGCTATTTACTTAAGTGAGAATTTAATGTGAAATCAACGTTAAATTTAATTATTGGGCAAAAGTAGGCAGCTTGGCTATTTTGGCCTTAAATTTGAAGTTCAGTTTGAATTCTCACTTTAGTGAGTAGCCCTGTTTATGCATACTTGGTGAGGGCGTCTATAGCTAATTATTTGAGAGTGATACCAGGAGTACATAATTAGAGTGCACCGGGAAGGAATGTGGGAGGTTAGGAATTAGTGAAATCTGGTTGGAGTAGCTCATTAGAGCCATATAGAGGACGCACCATCTTTGTTAATCATTTAATTAGAGTACTGCCAAAACTGTGACCTGAATAATTATACAGTAAGAGAATGTATACATGTGCTTAAAGAACCTTATGTCAAGATGACAGCAAAAAAAATAAATAAAATAAAGTTATATATACACATATATATTTTCGTTTAAAGTATGTCCGGAGGGCATGATTAAAGGACCACTATAGTGCCAGGAAAACAAACTCGTTTTCCTTGCACTATAGTGTTAATAGGGCCCCCTCCCTCCAGGCTCTAGGGGGAGGAAGGGGTTAAACGCTTGCCTTTCTCCAGCTCCTCCCTCTTCTGAAGTCATCCGCTGAATGCACATGCGTGGCAAGAGCCTTGCATTCAATCAGTCCGTAGGAAAGCATTTCTCAATGCTTTCCTATGGACGTCAGCGTCTTCTCACTCTGAAAATCTAGAGGCTGGATTAACCCTAATGTAAACATTTTTTGAAACTGCTATGTTTACAGCTGCAGGGTTAACCCCAGATGGACCTGGCACCCAGACCACTTCATTGAGCTGAAGTGGTCTGGGTGCCTATAGTGGTCCTTTAACCCCTTAAGGACCAAACTTCTGGAATAAAAGGGAATCATGACATGTCACACATGTCATGTGTCCTTAAGGGGTTAAGCACAATGTTAAACATTTAGATGGGAACATTTAAAGTACATGCATAATATTTGAGTTAATCTGGTCTCTGGGGGCAGACATCTTGTCCCAAGATTTGCAAGCCCACTGTTCCTCGTTATTTTACTCCTCCTCATATGTGGCAGTGGATTGGCTCAAGCAGCCTTAAAAGGAGGAGTCAGAGGGAAGTGAATTCACGCCACAGTCTTTCCCCCATTTTAAAAACACATTTCAGGGGGCAGGGCTGTTCTAAAAAAATTTAGGTGACCTACTAATAATTTATAGAACTGTTTTTGTACAGGGTGTGGAGACTCAAGTCGATATACAACTGTCTGAAGAAAGTCTGGGAGTTGCTCTGTCTCTGAGAAAGTGAGTGCTTATTACAATTTAACCACAAATCCTCTTTATCTGCGTCCTAATCATATGACTAAACTGCTAATTAAGCAAAACACCCCTATTGCCCAGGGAAAGCTAGTACTGCTACGGTAACAGATTTATCGTGGGTAATTGGTTGGGGCCTGATGGATAGGCTGGGTCTATCCCAACCACTGCGGACTTATTGTAAAAACATGGAGGACACAACCCTTCAGCTTAGAACCATTGATCGAGCTGGACTCATACCGTAATTATGTCCAATCAAATAACAAGCCTCTACGGTCATTCTCTGTAGAACGTCTTGTACGTGGCCTTAACACCGAGCTCAGAAAATATCAAACAGTTCTATCACGCTGCTTTTATGTCCACCTCGTCCTTTACATCCATGCTGCCCAAGAAATGTCACATCCCTGCATCTCTTTCCCCTGGTCTTTAATCCCACCTTAAACACCTGTAACCTCATTAGGCCTTTGTGGGATTCCCCCCTCGATTGTCTACAAACCAGCCTTCTCATCCACACTTGTAGACCTTAATCATGTGCGTCTTTCTTGTATCCCCACAAAAACACCTGCATGTGTTCTGAGACAATACACAATTTACGTTATTGTCCGGTTATCTCTCATCACACTGTATTCCCACTGTAACTGCACCTAGCCCAAAATGTAACCTCAGGAGGACTCACTTTTGGTGGTTACACATGTTGTATCTTCTCTTTCCAGTTTCTCCCTGGCTCTCATTCATTCCGACGCCGGTCCTGTTAAGGTGAGCATCTGATGATATTGCTAAAGTTACAGCTGGTTGAAGATGAGCTCCTAACCCAGATAACAGTTATGGTGACATTTTGTTCTCTATAGGTGGACAATCTGAAAAATATCTTGAATTTTGCCCTGAAGCTTGTGGCGCTTCCTCTAATGAACAGTGAGTACCGTAATATGAAACGTGCATTGATTATTATATACCATGATCCTGAACGTTCCTAATCTGCTCACAGAGAAACTTCAGAATATGGTGATAATTCCAACCCATCCAGTTAGACTTCAGAACCCAGAGCTGCGCATTTTAAAGGTAAGTGCAACGACCTTCATCTTTGGTTCCGGACCTGTTTTCTCACACTAACTCTCCCTGTCAGAACCTGTTTTCTCACACTAAAGTGTTGCTGTAACAATGGCAACTTTCATTGACTTTTACTTTCTTACATGGCTTCCACCTACCTTCTCAATCTCTGTGCAGGGATACCTGGTGGTTGTGACTGATTTTGAGCTGTCCTTGAGTCCTCCTCTCCAGCAGACAGAAATGGTGACCAAGCCATAGGGATTCTGAATATGACCCGCGATAACCTCGCTCTGCCTCCAGTCACTTTCACAAAACATGGACTGTGGTGGCAACTCCTGCCCTGATTATCTGTTATTATTATGCAGAAGTAGAGGACCTATGTAGAACAGGAAAAAAGTGGAGAACATGGAGTGCACCTATCACATCTATGTCTCCTATGCTTTTTCTTGCCAATTCAGAAGAAGGCCCTTACATCTACCTCAAACCCATCTCTTGCACTCAGAATGATTTGTGGCTGTCTCTGGGTATCAGTGTGTCTCTTAATTTGTCTTTGGGCTGTCTCCTGACTGTTACCGGTTGACAATATGTATTCCAGCTGTCTCTGATTCTTAGTGTGTGCCCAGGCTGTCTCTGGCTCTACCTGTGTCTCCTGGCGGTCACTCACATGGCGTGTGTGCATGTAATCACTGCCTACTGGCTCTCAGTTTGTTATTGGATCGTCTCCTGCCTGTCTCTATTGTTTACAACGATCTCCCGGCTTTCTCTCACACAGCACCCCGAGATGTCCCTCCCTCTTAGTCTGTCTCTTGCTCTTCAATGTGTTCTCTGGCTGTCTCAGGTTTTCATAGCATTTCCAGTCAACCTCTAATTTTCTGAGTCCCTCCCAGCTTTATGTCTTTTAGAACGTTTCCTATCTGCCTAAGGGTGTCATCACTTTCCCCTGTTGTCTCTTGAGATCAGAGAGTCTGACATCTGTCTCTCTTTCCTGTTTTACCCTGGCTGTCTTAAGCTTTAACCTAAAAGATGTAACCAATACGTTTTATAGCCAAAGCCGTGGGACATTGCCAGAATCTACTAACTCTAGCACCTTAATAAAGGGACAATCAGCTTTTATCATGAAGAACATGTGATCATGGGAGATTTTTGCTAAGTGCCTAAATAATTTTTCCCTGCTTCTCTATTTGATTGATTGATGAATTTTTCTGTAAGTGATATTTCCATAATAAACATAAATTGAAACAAAATGGGTTTTTTTTCTGATCATTTGTATATCTCAACGTCCCAGAATCTCAAACGTTAGTTATCACATTGTGACACACCGCATGCTCTGGAATGCACTGGTTTTACAGAGTATACAACAGGCTGGCACAGGGGTGCTCGGCCACACCAGTGCTGCCATTGAGAGGATCGCCCCAGCCATGGAATTGGCTAATACTCGGATGGACACTCTAATCATAGAGGGTGGGGGGGGAATTTAAAAATGGCGCTTGTAGGGATTGTTTTTATGTTTTTTTTCACTTTGCTGTAAATCTACGCCAGTCTACGGAAGGATGAAACGCTTACGGCGTGGCGACTTGGAAAACAATATGGTGATGATTCTACGTTACATGCCGTGAATTATTGTGACAGAACCATCTGTCTGCTGGATTTTTGCCCGTTCGTCTGTTTGTCCCCGTTCGTATGAATGGCTGGTTTCTATAGCCCAGCCATTCGAATGACTCTTTTTCCCGAACAAAACCGCCGAACGAACGGCCACCCAAGTGAGGAGTGTGCTGCAGGTTAACGAAGTGATCACCATTATAACGTTGTGGTTAACCGCAGACACTTCTCAATTAAACCGAACTCAGGGTGGTCGTCGTTCGTATGTCGACCACGAGGCAGCGGCCATTTTAAATCATGCGAACGCTCAGCGGTGTTTGGCTCTATTTCTATGGAACGGAAAACGGACACTTTTTCTGTCGAACACCGCTGAAACAAGGGAACGCCTGGCTGCCTCCACGAAAGCATGCGAACATCGGCCGTTCGGGAGATTGAGAACACACAAAAGACTTAACCCAGATAGCCCACCCATGGAGTCATTCGTGTACCGAAGGACTGTAAGAACTTTGACTCCATGGCGATTGAACTATGTGTGTGGGATCTGAGCGCTATTCGCCAATAATATGCACTCAGATCCAGGCTATCTGGGGACATGTAATACGAATGGGAAATGTTCAGTTTTCATGTAGTTATGCATTTTTGTGTCTTTTATTATTTCATGTTTAAGATGGCGACTGTCCTTGTCCTGGAGTTAATTGAGTTACTTGGTAATTAACTCCAGGACAGAGGGGAGGGAATCAGAATGTACTGTGGGTAAAATATGTGACTGTGTGTCAGAAATGTCCTGCTATCTGTCTGTACTTTAAGTCTTCCATTTGGTCCCCTAGGGGAGTGTCCACCAGGTGGGAGACCTGCATAAATACGGGCAGGTAGCCCACAGTAAACCCAGATCTTATTTGACCCTCAATGCGGAGCTTCTGTCTCGTTATTGGGGGGATTTCTTCTTCACGTTTAGAGACTGCTGGATGGAACGAAAGCCGCTTTGGGGATATTATTGTTCGACGGTTCCTAGCAGTTCGTATATTGCCGTTCGGGAGTTTGGAGCCGTTCGTGGATTTCGATCGGGAGATTGCCGCTTCCCCTGCATTTGGTTCGTGGGTTACAGAGTAAGCGAACAGAGACTGTACTGCAGCCGGGGAAGGTTTACTAAACGGCGGTTTGGCTTAAAGACACGGGAGGTGTCTTAACAATTGGTGGCAAGCGACGGGATGAATCCTACAGCACTGGAGGTCAGCTACAAGACATGCAGTACGAGGAATTAAGGCGTGCTACACTTAAGGACATATTGGAACGCCGAGGAAGGTCAGCAAGCAATTTAAAGAAACGGGAGATTATTGCTTTACTAATGGAGATGGATGCAGCAACGGGAATGGAAAGAGTCAACGTGCCCAGTACCTTGGATTTAACACCCGAGGAAATACAATTCAACCGGGCAGTACAAATAAGGCTGGCACATTTTGGCCCCAACCCCTCAGCTGACATCGTGGTTCGTGTGCAGGCAGCAGTTGCAACACAACAGGCAGCCCGAGAAAGAGGAGCTGCAGCAGCAGAGGTACCGTATGACAATAATGTGGTTGCTAGAAAAAAGGTACCTTTTGCTGCGTTTAAAAATTTTGTGGAAACAGAGGGAGAGATTGATGGATTTTTGGCAGACTTTGAGAGGCAGTGTGCGCTACATCAGGTACCTGCAGATGAATGGGTCACCATCCTCTCTGGGAAATTATCTGGCCGGGCTAGTGAAGCTTTTCGGGCCATCCCAGAGGAGGAGATCACCAGCTACCGGGCTGTGAAAGAGGCGCTCCTAGCCAGGTATGCAGTGACCCCAGAGGCGTACAGGCGGAGGTTTAGAGAAACCAACAAGCTGGTTGGGGACTCTTATGTGGAATGGGCCTGCAGAGTCCATCGTACCGCAGCCCACTGGATGGCTGGATGCCAAGCGGTAACTGGGGAGGAGGTGTTACAAGTGTTCCTGCTGGAGCACTGCTTTGATAGACTACCTGCTGGGGTCCGGGAATGGGTCAGAGACAGAAAACCCTCTACCCTACCCGAGGCTGCCCGTCTGGCAGACGAATACACGGATGCCCGCAAGTTGGATGGTACAGCTGCTAAAGCCCCTGCCAGACTGGAATATCGACCAGCAGTAACACCCGCTCCTGCAGTCTACCAACCCCCAGTACACCGTACCCCAGCTGCACCACCAGCTAACAATTATATGCAACCAGCCCGATTTAATGCCCGGGAGTACTCCCAACCCATCCGGTGCTATGGGTGCAAGCAGTTGGGGCACAAGCGTCCTGAGTGCCCACTGAACAGTGCCAACCAGGCTCAGTCCTGGAGGAGACCAGTTAACGGAAACCAGCGCCCACCTCAGCCTGCTGCTCACTGCCTAGAGCAGGAGGAATTTTGGGGCATTCTGCACGAGGCAGACCCAGTGCAAGCGGCTCACCAGGATAATCGCCAGCAACATCGGCAAACTGTGAAGCTAAATGGCAGAGTGGTGAATGGGCTGAGAGACACAGGAGCCACGATGACACTGCTCCAAAAGAACTTGGTCTCAGAGCATCAACACACTGGAGACACTGTGGCAGTAAGGGTAGCAGGGGGTGCCGTGTTTCGCTTACCTGTTGCCCGAGTACATTTGGATTGGGGAGTGGGCGCTAGACATGTGGATGTGGGGGTGATGAAGGACTTGCCCGCAGATGTTCTTTTGGGAAACGATTTGGCCCCTTTGGTTTCAGCCTATGCTCCGATGGGCCCTGCAGACGTGAACCCAGTGACCACCCGTGCCCAGACCCGTGCTGCCGGAACCAGCCCACTTGCTGACGAGACCCAGGTAAGATCTCCTTCCCCGACTGATACCCCAGATCAGGTCCCCTTAAGCTGGGATTCCCCAGAGGAGTTTGGGAGGGAAACCCGGGCGGATCCGACCCTCCAAAGATACAAGGACAGGGCAGAGGCTGGGGAGGAAGGAATAGATGGGGAACGGTATGAGTGGGTGGGGGACAGGTTATATAGGATCCCTAAACCTTCCCAGAAGAGTGTTGCCTCTCCGCCGAATCGCCAGTTAGTGGTACCTGCAAAGTACCGGCAGGAGATTCTGCGGATAGGGCATGATGTTCCTTTAGCTGGACATCTAGGGTCCCGCCGCACAGCCTATAGGATTTCACAGAACTTCTTTTGGCCAAACTTTAACCAGGCTGTGCGGATGTACTGCAGCACGTGTGACACATGTCAACGGGTAGGAAAGCGGGGGGACCACCCTAAGGCTAGGCTATTATCGATGCCTATTATAGGGGAGCCCTTTGCCCGCATAGCCGTTGACATTGTGGGTCCACTGGCCAGGGCTAGTCCATCCGGTAAGAAGTATGTTCTTACCGTGGTGGACTATGCCACCCGCTATCCAGAGGCAGTAGCGCTGTCTAACATAGAGGCAGAGACGGTTGCTGATGCCCTGGTTAGAATTTTTACTAGGGTCGGGTTCCCTAAGGAGATCCTCTCCGACCAGGGAACCCAATTCACCGCTGTGCTCACCCAGCAACTGTGGAAGGTGTGCGGCATTAAGCCGTTACTTAGCTCACCCTACCACCCACAGACTAACGGTCTCTGCGAGCGCTTTAACGGTACCCTCAAACAGATGCTGAGGACCTTTACAGACACTT